AGAAACATTGAGAATGCTGAATTTTTTGCCAGACCCATTGGCTGCCATGTGCATTATCTTGACTTGAGAAAGGGCATTGCCATTATATTGCAATGCACACAAATATGATGAATGGAACATAGTGAGGGGGATTGATATTCAATGGAGAAGCAAAGGCCTTGTAATCCTCATGAAAGGGTGCATTGTGAGGGTTGTATGCTCCTTGATTCTTCTCTGTGGCTTCATCTGAAAAGATTTTGGTTAGGGTTGCATCCATCGACGTCGCTACTGCGAAGAGTTCGTGTCCTCAATAGAAGATGTGTTGGTCATGCTTCAGGTGGGCGTGGATGAAATCTTGGCTTTGATAGCCTTTTGGATTGTTTGGACCATAGCATCGAATTCATCCTTTTCATCATCTGAGACATCTCTGGGGTTGCCGCCTTTTTAAGCCACTTCTCCTTTTTGCTCTCTTCGTATTCCCGTCCAACATGTCCTTATGCGTCTTAGCGTGCAACCGTTCGAGGTTCATTTCTTCGGGGCCCCCGAGTATGTTCCTACTGAAGGGGGAGGCGGACCAAACTCTGTTTGTGGACTTGCAGTAGCACTGATCCGGGACATGATGTTGCAGATAATGAAGAGTACGCGTCAAATAATAGAAAGCAAAACAAAACAAGTTAACAGCGTTCGTATTGATTTACCGCAGGCTCGCAGGCTTAGTCAGCACCTTATGTGCGCTGTCTCCGCAAGCTCCGTCAGCTCACAACGTCCATCCGTCTGCCCACAACATTCAGTTCGAACTCCCCTTTCCAGCCCGGCCAAATATTCCTTTGGTATCAGTTCGTATTCCCTTCTCTGTTGGAGCGAAGTCAAAATGGCGAGCCGAAGTAAGAGGAAGAAATCCCCAGAATTACCAGATCCTACAAATCCACTGAAAAGGACCAAGAACAACCTTTTGGATGAAGAGTCTAGCTTGCGTGCTGATTCCTCTGCCTTACGGCGGCTTCTTGATTTCTCTGATCTTCATGAGTCAGCATCTATCCGACAACGTTTCGATACTATCTCCTCTACACTACTACATGATTTTACCATTGTGGTACAGACGGTTCTGGGATCGGGGTCCGACTTCGTAGAAACCAGACTTCAAATCATGGAGATGGAGTTTTATTTCTGGAATTCGACTTACCACCGGGACCCATTCACTCACGGAAGCCAGGAACAAAAGACGGCAGGTCAATGGTAGGAAAATTTTTCCTACCATTGCTTCCTGCTCGAGAACTGACCGAGCAAAACCATGTTCAGGTATTTTCACCGCACCCCTAGACGGTCTGATGATTCTACACAAACCCTGATCAGCACCTCTGGATATAGAGGCGGGACACGCAAGGGATTGGATCTCACAATAAGCGGCATCACTCCCACTGAATCGCGCTATTTTCCTTCTTCAAGTTCGCATCCTGACGCTTACGGTGGCGTTCTTTTACGCACCCTCCGCGACTTGAACTCTGGAAAAATCATTTCGGGTCCATCTCTCCTTGTGGATCATATCCTACAGCTCAGTGGGGCGGAAAGAATTCCAGAGTTGGTCGAGAATCACTGGGCCAACGACACTAACGCGTTCAACAACACATGTTTGGGCGAAAGAAAAACCTGCATGTTCCTTTGTCCATCCCCAAACACAAATACTGCACTCCACATATACAAATCCCCCCGCATCGGCCTCGATCTCTCCCATCCTGGCACCACAGCTTCTCCTACTCACCCTCGAGTAGAATTCATTTCCCAGCCTTACCGGTACTTTGTTCATCCCGAGAGGTTGACAGCAAATGGGCGAGCGCAGACACTGCTCGGTGTTCTCCCTCAGAAGGAGCTCTCCGGACTAAAAGACAAGACCGTGAACGCGTATCTGGCAGAATATCAGGCCGGTATGGATAGAAAGGCCAAGCTGGAGGAATTCGTGGGTGCACGCGGGAAAGGCGTCTCATCGTCTCCGACAAAGTACATGAAATTGATGGGCTGTATTGAATCCCTGAAAGCTGGCAGGTCTGCAGCTGGTGATGATGATGGAGCGAACTGAATTGTGAGGGTAAGTGGCTACTGGGATCTCGTCGTGTTCCTATAATCCGTGTCTTTAAGCTCACTGAGACAAGCTAGGCATGATTGACGATGATCTTCCTACCACTGACGTGTCTCTTATGTGTATTTATTTCCGTTATCATTTCTCTGCCTACCATTGCCATCTGTAAATATCGTCTCAGCTGCGGGACGTCTCAATGCGTCGAACCCTCCCTCAGCTCCATTGGTTTATATCCAATCTCCTTTGACTGCTTCTGTTTGAAGAACGCCGTTCGATGCCAATGCCGATCTCTCAGTCCAAGTTCGTCGTTAGTATTGCAAGATCGAAATACCACGGAATCCTTCTCCTACTCCCTCTTCTGCGAAACAAAAAATCTCCACCATCGTTCAAGTCAAGCTGATTTCCATGATTCGCTTGCCAGCTGAGTAAATTTTAGAACCCCAGGAATTTTTGATCAAATGCCAGTCTCTATTCATAAATGTGACCGGGCTGTCTATCACGTTCTCCAGAGCCATAATTACTCTATCGAAGGCCGCAACGGTTTCTTTCGTATGAATAACACAATATGATCTATGAACTGCTTGTCACTGCAGCACATCCAAAATGGTATTCCATTCGTATACTTCGATACGGATATCGTACCCATCTCTCCGTATCTTCCTCAGATGGCCGAGCTCGCTGTCCCCAATCACAAAAGGTCTACGAGTCAGCGACATACCTCTTGCGCCCGCTGAAACCTTCGTAGACAACCGTGGTCGGCAGCAGATCATATCGACGAATGCATGATCTATCCTCGCATTAGCTACGGTGTCAACGAAGGGATCCGCACTCGACGGAATATTTATGCACAGCTGAAGGCGTTCCAACTGTAGGGTCCATTCAGCAAAGGTGTGACAACATTGCTTGGGCATACCGTATGTCCAGGTATTTTCACTACACGGCGAATCGCGAGTGTCGGGATGAAGCCGCCCAATTGCATTTTTGATTTACGGCAATTCCCAGGTCCGTCGAAATCTTTGCGCATAGTCTTTACCATCCCATCTGTCCCTTGCTAGTTCTCTTAACTCAATACCCCCCCCTTGGCCCCCTGCTCTTCAATGTCTCGTCGAGAGATCCCAATGCTCGCTTGTGAATTTGTCTGTGAACGGTGTCAGGACGAACGTCATTGGGCGTAGACATTTCATCGATGTACTGCGATTGAGTCCATCCCTCCGTGAACTGTCCCTCGAATGGAATCAGTGGAGTCCGTGGAGGGCAGAGGAGATGGGGATATCTCATTGAGGCGATGTCGACTATGATCCATTCGTTGGCATTGGCGGCGCCCTCCGCAGTTGAAGTGATTCGTAAAAGTTTCTGATCATTAAACATAAAGTGAGATCAGTATTCCTGTCTACCGAGGCCGGGCGCACGATATAATACTCAGTATAGGCGCTACCCCATCACACTATCTTCTTGCAAGTTCAGGTCTCGGTGAGGACGAACATGAGAGTGTGCTCTTACGTGCGTTCACGATTTGCAGCTCTTAAATCTGTGATAATGGCGTCTGGACCGTCTCTACTAGTAATAAGGCCGACATACTCTTTGAAGACAAGGTCGAAAATCCCGGGAAATTGGTACTGCCGATTTTTCTTCGATTAAAAAAGATGCTTGTATCTTTGTCCAACCCCCGGCCAATATACCATACCATTGTCTATAAATCCCCCCACTAGCTCCGACCAGGGAACCGTTGTTTCTTCTGATATTTACTCTCTAGAGATTCATTGAACCGTCAACAGCGAATGGACGAACGTAGCCTCTGCTTGTCCTTTTGCTGTATAAGGAATTATATGGATTGAAGAATATCAGACTGGGATGGCGAGGCGAAATCTTTGAGTGCAAAGGGGAAATATATATATATATATATTTGGTCCGCGGAACAGATGTGGTGCCATATGTTTGCTAGTTGCTGGCAGGTAACTATGTGGCAACTATATATCCCGGCTCCGAAATGTCATTGATTGTTTTCCAGGATTGATAAAGAGAGACAAAGTCGAGTGCCTATGGTATGGCATACCTCCTCGAGCGAAGATGTGCTATTGATATTGAGCTCAGGCCCCTGTATCGACCATGATCACTGCAGTACCGGCAAATAGACTGCCCTGACGCGCCCCAACTTCCATTCCGATACTTTCCCTCCGACTACGGCGCAGCGACATGGTATTCCGCATATCTCTCAATCCCGGTTGTCCTCTGAAAATTAGCCTCAAAAGAAACCTTGGCTGTCTTTTATTTTTGTTTTGGAAAAATTATCACCATAAAGACAGCATGGGCACCATATTTAGAAGATACTGCGATTCGCGGAACAGCTAATCTCCACCACCACATCCACCACCTCCTCCACAGCCTCCACTACCACCACTACCACCACAGCCTCCTCCACCGCCAACGCGGCCAGTCCCGCCACCACCACAACCTGTGATACCTCCCCCTCCATACCCAGCGCCTAGAAAAAAAGACCAAATCAGAATATCACTCAAACATCCAGCTACACTCAAAACTCACCACCACTCCCACATCCACCAACACCCTTCAAAAACAAACAGATTAAGTCCAAAACAAAAAAAGTCCGATTAGGAGGACTCACAACAGCAGCACATCCCCTGACCCCTCCACCCCCTCCAACCACATTCCCCGACATCGCCACACACCCAACCCCATACACATAATTCAACGGAACCGGCACCAAAAACGCCGCGTCATGTCCAACACTCCTATTCCTACTAACCCCCCGCTCTTCTTCTCGCCTAATCCTCCTCTCCCGCTTACTCAGCCTCTCCCGTCTCATAGCGTCGACCTGCCCCTGGTGCTGGAACGGATACACCGCATTATGGTCGCTCGGATGTGTCGCTGCGAGGAGATCGCTTCGATCCCGGGGCGGGACGAGGTGAGAAGGTGCCACCGACTGCTTATGTATCGTTACGAGTCTGCTTAATTTCTGTCCAATCGTGTCGCCCGGGAGCGGACACCCGCAGTATGTATATGCGATCCTGAAACGGTCCTGCAAAGGGTCATTGGTAGGGCAGAGAAAGGAGAGGGCGAGTTACGTACTTTCCATGCCCGACAAGTGATGTCGAAGGCGTTTGCAAGCTTGTTTTCGGCCACCTTGTCGTCATGGTCGACGAACCGACCGACATATTTGAGACAGTGGCGGGAGTACTTCCGGGCCATGAGCTGGTGAGTGTGCCAAACCAGGTCAATGTCCAGCGTTGGGACAAAGAATCCAGCAGGTGACGACGACATCAGGTCCAGGAATCTGGTTTGTTTGTGAGGTCCGCTGAGCAACAAGCACCAATAGGACGCCCTGCTTACGCATGATAACGAGCAATACAGTGCCTCAGCGCTACTTCATCCTCGGAGGACGAGAAAAAGTCTGGGTCTGTCCAACCTAGTTTATCCATCTTGTTCACAAACGATCCTTGTCGGAGTACCTTCATCGCGTAAGTGTTCCGTCTGTAGAGTGCTCACAAAGGTACCCACTGCCCCGACGAGATCCAACGAAAATATCTTGGCATCTTCGTACGCGCTCATGATTCGAGGCAGCCTATCAATTCAATATCAGGATTTGTCAAAGAAACAACAAATACCAACGTACAATTGTCCTCCGTGTATCCTCATACGCTGGCCCATAATACTTTGAAGTTTCTGCATACTGTAGTTCATTTTCTCCTGTATGTCGACCGCCCATTCCTGTTCGGTTATCGCATCTCCCTTCCGAAATGCCGGCGGTCTCATCTCTAAAATGCGGGACTTGATCGCCCTCGCACGACTCGAATTGTCGATATTGTAAGGCGTGTGAAGAGTTCCGCTAGATGTCAAAGGTATCGATCAGCAGAAGGAAAGAAGAGATGACAGTCAGAACATACGAAAGGACATCGCTGGAACCCACCAGGTCCTTCACAAGTTTGTGAAAAGACAGCTTTTTCTTCGTAATCCTCAGTCGGCACCCCGGACACGTGGTAGTGAACTCCTGCTGGAGATATCCACTACCCGTGGGATTCACCAAGCCTAGACCTCATTCAGAGATGGTTATCAAGACCAATGGCACCAGTATTTACTCACGAACGTCGACCTTCATGAGACATTCGGGGCAAACTATTTCTCGCTCAGTCAATATCGTTGCCGATTCGAAAGGATCATAGGGGAGATGGGTCTTCTGCAGCCAGTTCTGGACACGGGCGTTTGACGGAGGCGAGTCGATGGTGTAGCATGTCCGTTCCTAATCCATCCAGTCAGCTCAACCTTGAAAAAATAATTCAAGGTAACCATACGAGGTCCCGAAACCAGTCACCCATACTTGCAAGTATCTTGATGTGCTTGTTTCGTAACGAATCTTCAGAATACCGCCTGATATGCGATCAACATAACATCACCGAGGCATCATGTGAAACATACGCAGGATTTAGCAAGTAGGCATGCCAAACCTGTGCAGCTCGAAATTAGCAACACGTTAGATACCAAAACGTACTATCCTTCACCATGATAACATCGACAGGAGGCAGCTGCTGGTCAGCGAAATCCAATTCGTCTTGAGCTGTCAGCGCCTTGCACCATCTTTCGAACCTAGTGAACACCGTCAAGCCTCGACAGCCTACCAGTAGCCAAGGAACATACCTCTCAACGGCCAGTCCAACGAACCACGACCACTTGCGGTCCTTATCGCTGGGGGCATCTGGGTATCTGGAACGGTCGATCCCTTCGACTCGTTCCTTGAGGGAGGCAAAGTGCCTCAAGAGACATAGGTGGCCCTTGAGCTGAGATATGCTGACAAAGGGTGTCTGGAGGGCACGATGGCCGATGAACAGTGGGTAGGGTAGCTCGTATGAGGGTGGTTGGGCACCACCGTCGTCCCCACCGCTCGGTCGTGTGGAATATGGTGGTAAGACGTCCATGAGATCGAGGAGAACTGTACTGGAAGAGATCCGATGAAACTGGGGAGGAAGATATTGAGCTGTTGACGTTGGAGGTATTCAATGTTAAGGATGTGCACCTTATCTGTACCACGACGGATATATATGGTGGATACGGATACGTATCCGTACCGTGGACGATGCTGTCACATTACCATTAGCCATAATGTAGTACATACATCAACAGACACCCAAAATAAAATAAACTACGCACTGAATTGGCGACCATCAGTTCTGCTGCTAGTACTCAAAGTGCTCGTCTCGAGAAACGTGCGTGGATATTACTGAAATCAAAGGTGCTGCCGTTGCCAGGGTAATCATCGTCGAGTTTTTTCAACATTTCTTCATCGTTTTGACAAGCATCTCGGAGCATCATGGATCAGGCCCATTTATCTCATTACACTGTGTGCATCGATATTGTGAGCATGGAGAGGTTATCGCTATGAATCCCTGGTCAGCACGAGCGGGATGACCGTCTTCAAAGTAAATGCGGGTTCCAGGCGCTTCGGTGATACTGACGCCGTTCTCGCGTGTCGCATTCGGTGGGCACGAGATGTTCTTTCTTCATATGCCAAGGCAGGCTTCGGAGTCTTGTTTCTTGTTCTCTCGGTGGTTGGCTGCGCCTGAAGTGAGCAAGAATGAAAACACGAATAGCAGGTACGTACGTATCCTGTACTGCTCCGTACGAGAGTGTAACCTGTCCTCTCGGGGCTTTTTTCCCTATCAGATAACCTAGCACCGGGGATCTGAAACGCGCTCGAGGTCTGGAGAGAAGAATTCAAGATACTTTCTTGTCGGCTCTCAAGCTCAAGTTTCCAGCTTCAAATCCAGAGTGAATTTGCACAATTTCCATCAGAACATCTAGTTATAGTTGAGCATTCATCCTGTTTTTTCAGTGTGCTGTAAGAGACTCCGTCGCAGTGAGTCTGGACGCCAAGTCGCAACGTGAAGAGAACATTTGTCCTGCAACAGACTAGCCCAGTGCTGTGAAAGATGAACGAGACGATAACGGCAGATGGCACCTACCATATTGAACGACGAGCGTGTGGAGAGGACAGGACACAGGGAAGGAGCGTGAGGATTGAAGAGAAATGAAAAGGTGGTTGCCTACTGGCTGTCGTAGGGTTAGGGTTGGAACGGTCGATCGTTCTCGGTTGACTCTCCAAGCTTCTGGTAAATGAAAATTTCGCGAAGTAGCTTGTTCCTCTTTCGACTGTCAATGTATCCTGCCTCAAGGATGCCCGAAATGATTCAATAAATAGTACCGAAAGTTGCACTGAAGCCAACAGTCCAGAAGTACTCATGATTATCCACATCTTTTCTGAATGGTCTGCCCCTAAAATGTCGAACATTAGACTATGTCTTTGAAGATATCTGGCAGAAATTCGCGCGTGTGCAGGAAACATGGCGCTCAGTTTGGGAAAATGTCACTTTCTTGCTAGCGCATTTAAGTGATGAAGGCAAGAGCTTTATTACTCGATTTTACTAATTCGACGCCCCTTCCCGGCGGTGATATTAGGGTATTTCAAATGTCACGTCACGTTCACGGACGACATCGATACGTCGTTTGCTTTCGACCACGACCATCTCGCTCTCTTCCCTTTCTTCACCATGATAAACCTCTCTGAACTCGTAGTGGACTTAGATGTGGAACCACACTTATATTATCGTGAAGTTCTACAGACCCTTACCATGAAGGTCATGTATCCTGGCAGCCCGGACACTCAGATAGCTTCTCTGGACGGGTTCATCATCTCCCGACACCGTTGCGGCGACAATTTTCACTTTTTTCTGGACGAAGAAAACGAGGAACTTCACTGGTTATCTGTAGTCCTGTTCGACAAGTTCGGCAAGGTCAAGCCTCATATTGTCTCTGAGGGATTCCGAAGCGGTACGCGGTGCTGGGGCACGGAGCTCAGCGCTGGAAAGATCATTTATGTGCACGATGTTACCGTGTACCAGGTGCGAAAGTCTCCTAATCGTTCGATGGATATTCACCCTGACATTTTGTGCAGGATCGACGACAGGGAATCGGATCGTTCGTCCTTCAAAAACTATTCGAGTCGGAGAATGTTCAAAACGAAGACATCGTAATATCCTGGCCAGTATCCAGCGATGTTTCTAAGGATATCGTGGTTGCTTTTTCCCGCAAAGTCCGCTTTCAATAACATCCCACTACCATAGCATATATGCTGATAATATCGCAGAACGGCTTTCGACGCATTGGCCGTACCAATTTCTTAGGCTATTCCCCCAATCCAAACCACCCGTCTCGTCGTCTACTTCCAGAGAACGACGTCGAATCTCTAGAAGACAGGTTCTTGGGACGCAATCCCCCCCTCTCTCCCGAACTGCAAGCCTGTGGACGCGATGCCATCGACGAGGAGTGCCGGAAGAAATATCCTCTCCACTGCGCTATCGTCGACCAGAATACTCCAGAAATAGCTAAAGTCATTCAATCTTTCTACGACAAGGATCCCGCAAGTATCCACGTACCCGAACGTCGAGGCTTTCTCCCCGTCTTCGCCGCGGCTCGCGCATCGAACATCCACGCCCTCAACAAACTGATCGAGATTGGCGTTGCCGAAGACCTGAAGAATTTCGACAATATCGAAGGTAGCACTCCGCTGGAGGACGTCCTAAGTCTCATGAAATGGTCCCGCGAAAAGAGCGAGCTCCGGACAGGGATGTGGGCGGGTAACTCAGAGATGGACATGAAAGTCGTTAACATACTGAAGACGGCGATGAATCTTCCCACAGATAGTTATGTTCAGTTTAAGTTCGGCTGTACATGCGCACAATGTTCCGACGGCTGGCTCTCCCCGCGGATGAGATTTGCTTTGAGAGGTACGGATAAAAGGTTGTGCTTGATGATTGCCGAGATTGATACCTACCTATTACCTCCAGTTCAGGCTGCGTTCTGTATAAAAGCTCTGCCGATGGACCTAGGCAGCTTTACGCGTGGCGAAGCACTTGATGCCTCAGATACAATGATCGGATGCGGGACTCTAGACTATCTTCCACCGGCGCTCCAAAGACGCATGTTCAAGTCCTACATTGGGTTCACGACTGTGTTCAAAGTCATCCATAAGATCCTCAGGAACGACACTCAAGTCCCAACTCTCCGGGATATCAAACACGACGCGGCACTCGAACGGGACATTTCGTTTTTCAAGTCCGAGGGTGGGAGGGTGGAGTATGTCTTGGACGCTCTTACGACCATTGCAAAGAAGAACTCGAGGTTGAGGGACGGGACCTTCTACAAGACGTTTGGTAACGATGAAGATTTTCTTCGGCTTCCCGAGTGCGTGAATGATGATGAGTTTGAAATGGTGAGGGTAATGTTGGGATTGGATCCGAGCGTGGGATGGGGTCCGTACCACTCGCGATGGGAATGTTGACTACGTGAATAATTGTTGTAACTGTTAGCTCTTTTGTATTATGTAGTGTAATTATCAAAGCAGAGTCGTCAAGCATTATTCACGAGTCCACATTTTGGGAACCATACGAAATCCATGAATCCCAGGATATAAGTGAGTAGTATTACATGGCACGATCATAATGTACAACAATACAAAGAGAGAAATACAACAACAATAAATAATCCCTTCATTAAAACGCTTCTAAAATGACTAAAAGGAAAAGCCCGATGGACCGAGAGAAAGCAAGAAAACAGCGCTACGAGAATGACGCCAAGCAAACCTTCCACACCGTCGGCTCATCTGTGGCTTCGACCCCAATGAATCTGGTATACCCTAACAAAAAGTCAACTCTCCTAACACCCTTCCTTCTCTCTTCCTCTCCCATCCCCTCCACCCGGTTCGCAAACGCCCTCATAACACCGGTCCCTCCCACAGTCCTCAGTTCCTCCTCAGTAACCCTCGTGCGCAGCGCAATATACAGCGCCACGACCACGTCCCTGACCGAACTGGGGAATACATGGACCCGCCATGGAAGGTACTTGGAAACGAGGATTATGCCTCCGGGGATGGAGGGAGAGGTAACAGGTTCGTCAGGGAGCTCAGGGATGTACGGCGAGATGTCCTTGGACAAATCGATGCTGAGGTGCGGTGGGCAGAGGTATTCATGTAGTTCAACCGTGCTTGGCGCAACGTCTTCCTGGACTGACGGGAGGCTGATGGGGTTCTGGAGTCCATTGGGCGTCGGCGGTGGATGGAACGAAGCCGAGGAAGGGAGGGCGGTGGAAGGAGAAGATATGGAACTTGCGAATGAAGCGAAGGCCGGCGAAGATGGCAACGGAGACTGGTGAGACTCGGGAGATGGAGTCTCACTCAGCGACCGAGAATGATAATACATGTTGGGCAGCTCCGGACTCGTCGACAGGCTTCCGAACAGCCTCTGAGACGACCGAGTCGCAATCGGTGAAGGCGCCTGGTCCGAATCGTACGAGTACATCTCATTGGGCGAATCCGCGAAACGGACCGTCTTCGTGGTGGGCATCTTGGATGAGATGTGGTGGGGCATTGTGAATCCGTTCGTTGAGAAACTGGTGTTCCTTTATACACTCCCCCCCACCTTGTCGACGTCAACAGGGCGGTTCCGATATAGCCTATTAGCAATGCCTAACAGGGCGTTATTCCACAGCTTGCTACCGGGCGCGACACAGCCTTGCGTGACCCAGTTGAGATGATGGCGCTTCAAAGCGCATTGTGCCCCTGATCCACTATAAGCAAGTCTATGCTTCAATGTCTGGATGTCGCCTTGACGATGAGGAGCTTGTACCTTGGCCAATCCTAATGTGCTGTGGTACCTGTAACACGATATTAGGCTCTGTCAGAATTTTTGGCATGCGTACTAGCCGTATCACGTACCAACATACAGAAGAATCATCGCCAGCAGGACAATGCTACGAGTTCATGATGCACAAGCTCAGCGAACGAAAGATGATCCTAGCAATCGGGGCTATGCCCGAAAATCATATGCTGATTTGACTGACCCTGGGTACATTAATCAGTGATCACAAGTCGTTGCCAGTCATTCAGATCTTTTACCGTAGGTAGTAAACAGACACAGAAAGAGTCATCCTGACGGTTGTTGATAACAATGCTGTCCTACAGTCACCATCCTAGGGCACTTGGTCATTCTATACAAGTACTACAACAGCATCATAAATGAATAGTTCATCAGGGGAATGTGAAGCACTTACGATAGATGCTATCCAAATCGATGGAGCGCAAGTTGCCATATGTTCCTGGAAGTTCCATTCCCTCATACATCGATATGGGAGACGACAAACAGCGATGGCTATCATCTGGTGCTTGAGCATTCCTGGCACATGGCCCACTCCGAATTATCGGGGAACCTGAGAGCGTTCTCGATGCGCAGCCCAATACCTTTATTATAAGCGCCCTTAAGATCTCTGGTGAAACTGTAAAGCCCGCTGTTGTCTACAGAGACGAACAAGTTACATCATTCCGTTTGGTCCCCAGTAGTCGTGGAGAAAGTATATGGGGATGTTGAAGCTAAGCAACGGAAAAGGTTAGGTCAGAAAATAAGCTGGGATGGAAACGCTTATGGCATACACATCAAGAGCCTGATGGATAACCAGGCGCTACCTGGACAAGGACAGTCTGCAATGAAGGCAGGGGTTCGGCATGTTAGCTGGTATCAGTATATTCTTCTAGTCACCGGGACGTATCCCTTCGATTGGTTAGCCAAGCGAAGAAAGAGTCAAATACTTTGGAAAACCAGGAGCTTGTGCAGAGTCGTCCAGGACGATCAGCTGCTGGCTGAATGCCAGTTTAGGCTAGTTGTGAGCGAATGAGGTAATGGGATGTTCAGAACTTCGGGATGTCAGCGACATGACCTCGATGGTTTATCAATGTCTCTGTGAGAGGCTTGTTAATGCCGATATTGTGGTAGACAGAACTAGACAAACTGTTTTCGGTCTGAACCTTGAGAAAACGACTGCAGGAGCTCAGCTTCTCCAGTTAAAGCTGCGAGTTCGATTTAGATCCCTGGAATGAAGCCCACAGCTTTGTCGGTCAAGCAAAAGGGATGCTTAAAGTAACTTTAGTCATGAGAAACACATGCAATAAGACAGTGAACTTTCAAAAAAGACACAAATACGCACCAGGGCGAAGAGTGATGCACCAATGATGCCTACACATGTCTACCAGCGAAACATCTCTGGTCCTCTCGGCTCCGGCGCACAGATTTGAACGGTGCATGTCTTCATATACGCCCTTATTGGGAGAGGACTAGCAAACCTGGGTATGACCGGTCGTAAATCCTTCGACACCTAAGTTTCTTCTGGCTCTGATTACATCATGAAAGGTTATAAGGTTGTTCAGCTCGCGACGTTATCACTGAATACTCATTCAGGGATGCCAAGTAGAGAAGTGAAAGACGGCGTACCAGGTACAGCATCTAGAACAATGAACCTTGAACTACGGAGTACGGCCCGCTCTGTCGCAGAAACAACCGGTACCTGCGAGAAAATGGGTAAGATAAGATAAGGAATAAGACGAAAGCGCACCTACATGAGATGAATCAAATGTTCGCGGGATCGTGCTAACGTTGTACATTCTTCAAGAATACTCACAAAAGACGATGATTCAGTGCAAGTTCAAACTACACATCCTCACGACCTAAGTATATACGCTTCATCAGGTGAGGTCAAACAACTCAAAGAAGAGAAGTACATACCAACAAGGCTCGTGCGAATTCTTCATCAGATCCTGGCCAAGCTAGTGTCCCAGAATGTGGGCATGAATAATGTCCCGTACATAGCAGTTTCTACTGGAAAAAATCGGTGAGAGGAGCGCAAATTCGGAGTCAAACGATTGACGTACGAGATCTTGCTACCGAATCATCTTTACTCGATGCTGACTGTAACGTTGAGCTCTGAAATAGCGTAAGGATAGCATTGTATAGAAGATGGGAAAAAGCCGACAGAAACGAAATCTAGTGGTGGTGGAAGCAAGAGGGAAAGGATCGCGTTATTTGGTTGAGCTTGGCAGGGACAAACTTCCAGCCACCAGCGCGCTCCGTCTTCCGAACGTCCATGTGTACCGTACAGATACACACGAGCAGCCATTCTTCCTTCCACGACCAGCATCGGTGCCACATACCTTACGATTGCCCTCAGACGGCGCGAATATCCCCCATTCTTCTTTCATGCTGACCTGGGTGGGATACAATTCGAGTATGCCCTAAATGGTTTTGGCAGTCCGGATATTTGCCATCGCAAGGTCTTCTTCATAGATGATGCCGATGGATGGCATCGATGAAGCTCAGGCTTTGTTACTTCACTTGGGAGATGGGCGGCGCATACCTCAAAGTTGGCGGATAGACGTATAGAGGGTCACGGCAGGATAGGCGAGAGAATGTCGGAAACAAGGTACGCCTATGCATCACTCTGCTGGCACTGGCTCACCTTGAAGCGACAGGCTGTCGACCGCCGATGCTTACGACTACGAATCAACATAGCTCCGCCATCTACATTAAGTCAGGAATAGCAGATCCATATCGAAAAGTACGGCGCTTTCGGACCCTGTTCATTGCCTGCGCAATACCCCATCCAACTCCCTCAAAACCCACATTTCCTTTTCTCGTGACCAGACAAAACAGTCAAGCGCGTATCTTGTGTGCTACTGCGACGAATGCAAACACGCGATCCTTACCGACAATCCCTGATGTCATCGAGAGCGTCGCACGGCTGCTTTCTTTTATTATTGGTGCTAAAAAGTCGACCTCGACATTCTCCCCCCATCTGTCTCCGAGATCTACATACCTAGCCTTGCAGCACTATCGATACCCAAGCCTACCTTTCCCATCGGCACATTATCAATCGCCGATACAGCCTTTCTCACTAGAGGCCTTCATCTTTTTTGGTCATACAAGCTGACCGACCTCGCCTTCGACGTCCGGAGCAACGATGAAGGAAGATGAGTATCCCCTGAGAATACAGGGTTCACGGACCGGACCTGTATCTCTTGTCCTTCCCTGAAGTCGGCGGGTCGGCGGCGTATCTATTCCCTCAAAAAATGTCCACCCGCTTCCATCGGCGCGTTCACATAGATCGTCCCAGCCTTGTCTGTATAAACAACTGCATCTTCAACGTACCCTCTTCCCACTCCCAACTTCGTCATGTCGGTACACACTTAATCGCAGGGAAACATTGCTCCACCAGGGCATTGCGTGTCATTCAGTCTTACATTTCGGAGAGGACCTTACTCCTCGGACTTGGCGCGTCGATTCGAACGGCGCCCGCATAGACTTCTGCTTCTCTCCTGGATGTCTTTTTATCCGACGTGGATTGAAATACGGCTGTAGCGGGCAACTGGTTGGTGGAGCGTACGGCCATGAGAGGCGAACGAAAGTAACCGCGGAGGAAGGAAACGATAATGAAAGAGAGGAACAGATGCAGCGATGTTGAACGGTCCTGTCTTGTTCTCTGCTCTGTCATCAGGGCAATACTCGGGGCCAGCAGCAGCTCAATAACTAAGGCCGAATGGAGCACGTTTATCATAGTTTAGGTTTTACGTTGTCTGTTGATTACTTTTTGTTTCCTTGTCTGTTCAATTGATCACTTATATCTCACCACTCATAGAGGAGTATGTGGGTATTTTCACCGCACTCCTAGACGGTCTGATGATTCTACACAGACCCTGATCAGCACCTCTGGATATAGAGGCGGGACGCGCAAGGGATTGGATCTCACAATAAGTGGCATCACTCCCACTGAATCGCGTTATTTTCCTTCTTCAAGTTCGCATCCTGACGCTTACGGTGGCGTTCACAGCTCAGTGGGGTGGAAAGAATCCCAGAATTGGTCGAGAATCACTGGGCGAACGAAAAACCTGCATGTTCCTTTGCCCATCCCCAAACACAAATACGAGACTCCACATATACGAATCCCCCCGCATCGGCCTCGATCCCTCCCATCCTGGCACCACAGCTTCTCCTACTCACCCTCGAGTAGAATTCATTTCCCAGCCTTACAGGTACTTTGTTCATCCCGAGAGGTTGACGGCAAATGGGCGAGCACAGACACTGCTCGGTGTTCTTCCTCAGAAGGAGCTCTCCGGACTAAAAGGCAAGACCGTGAACGCGTATCTGGCAGAATATCAGGCCGGTATGGATAGAAAGGCTAAGCTGGAGGAATTCGTGGGTGCACGCGGGAAAGGCGTCTCATCGTCTCCGACAAAGTACATGAAATTGATGGGCTGTATTGAATCCCTGAAAGCTGGCAGGTCTGCAGCTGGTGATGGTAATGGAGCCCTGGCCTCGGTACCGATCATGATCACTGCCGTACCGGCAAGTTGACCCCCCTGAAGCACGCCAATTTCCGTTCCGATACTCTCCCTCTGACTACGGTGCAGCGACACGGTATTTCGTATATCTCTCAATCTTGGACAACCCCCACCTTCATTTTCTCATAATATCCACCTTGCATTTCACTTTAGCTTCCATCTTTCACAACCTAGAGGTGAGGCCAAATTTTTTATGGGCATCGCGACGTCTGCTAAATTGCTTTCTCTTTACAGCCAATCAAGATGCCGGTGCAGTGCGAACAATGCTCCAATCGTGTCTTGCCGAACTCGAGCACGGTAATATATCGCTGCGACAAAGAGTTCGCCTCCCCTCTTTTCCTGCCCACCCTTCTACGGAGCAACGATCTTCCGTCTTCCTCAGATATTCTCTCTCTCAAGGCACGCCAAGCTGAGGTCCGCGCCTCGCTTGCTGAACTGGATGTCGCCATTGCAAAGCTAGAGGCTGAGCGCACTCGAATCCAGGAGATATCGTCCCAATACGACACCGTGCTTTCCCCCACCCGCCGTGTTCCCCTCGAGATCCTCACGGACATCTTTATCTATGCGGTCGAGTCGAACCCCTCATTTTATAACACCTTCGACCTAGCGACAGAGCCCTGGTCGTTGAGCCATGTCTGCCGCACCTGGAGAGTCGCCGCCCTCAATTTCTGTCCCAGGATCTGGAATAGCATGAGTATCCACACTCCCATGCTGGGCGAGATGGTGAAGAGAGACTATTCATCAATGCTCAGTACGGCGCTAGACCGGGCCAACCACAAGTCCGAAGGCTACGTCTTCCATCTCTCCGTTTCCGAGAGCACGGAGGCAGACGAGGCAGTCGCGAACGGCGTTCTGGACCTCCTTCTGCAGAGATCACGCAGTTGGGAAGACGCCCGATTGTCCATCCCGCTGACGATGTTGCCTATGCTCTCTGCAGCCACCGGCAAGCTAGACACTTTGACATGCTGCCACATTTACCTTGCAGACATCTGGCCGCAGGCTCGTGATATGGAGATTGACTTCTTATCCGCTGCTCCTAACCTCAAGGAGGTTGTACTCAAAGGGTTTGGAGAGGGTCCACTGCTACGCTTGCAAACATCCCAGTTGATGGAGTTTGCTGATGACAGACAAGTCGGCCGTCAAGACATCCAGGATAATTTCCTCAGTATCATCCAAAACGCCCCCAATCTTGTCATATTCGGTACTAACTACAGGAAAGAGGGAGTAATCCTACCCGTGCAGCCACGAATCATCCATCCCAGGATACACAGATTCACTGCCTGCGAAGACGCACTCCTGCAGAGCGTGGAATTTCCAGGGCTGCGATCTTTCGAACTTGCTCCCAGTCCAGGAACGTTTACTAGCCCTCGAGATTCGCTTTCTGGTTTACATACCCTCATCGCAAATTCTCACTGCTCGTTACAACATCTGAAGATCACAAACACGTTTCTCGACGAGTTTGTCGTTCCAATTCTCGAGATGACCCCGCGACTCAAACAACTGCAGTTCAGTTTGGGCTTCTGGGTCCAAGGTAATGACAGCGTTATCAAAGATATCGTCTTGCGTATGGGACAGTCGACGCCTAATAAGCAGGGCTTGCCGCTGTTCAGTTTTCTACCAACGCTGAGCTTCCTGGGGGTGACGATAAGTGACATGATGAATGAAGAGATTGATTTCGTGGACGACGACTTTGTGGCAATGATAAAGGCGAGGCGAGATCTGTCGCCTAAACGCGTCAGGCTATCGAAGGTGGCGTTGAAGGCGGTTACTCCCAGTGCGAAGTTCAAGAAGCTGTCAGACGAGGGAATTCGGGTCTTGAAGGATTGCAAGGCGAAGGGTGTTGACATTGATATTAAGGCAGCAGCAGCCAGTGGTCAGGGCGACAAGTATATCTGTTACGTGTAATGGGCGGGAGATATCATTAGAGTGACACTTGGTGTATTCATAATAATTCGTGGTCCTCAGGTTCGTACGCAATATTATTATAACGATGTCACTGTCTATTAAACCTGGGGTCGATCTCGAGCTTTAAAGGTATCAGCCAGCCACTCAATCATCAACGGCGTCAACACGCTTAACCTTTCTTCCTTCAGAACAAAGTCAAGTATCGGTGCAACGTACATGCCGTCCTTCTCTACGACAAATCTAATGTCTCGATGGAACATCCTCAAGCGTTTCTCATAAAAGAGTCTAGTACACTCTTCCAAGAAATCCCATTCTCCTACCATGATGAGGGTACGACCGATGGTCTAAAAGAGGCGAGGCGAACTCTTTGTGGCAGTGGCATATTACCGTGCTGGAGTTCGGCAAGACACGATTGGAGCATTGTTCGCACTGCGCTGGAATCTTGATTGGCTGTAAAGAGAAAGCAATTTAGCAGACGTCGCGATGCCCATAAAAAATTTGGCCTCACCTCTAGGTTGTGAAAGATGGAAGCTAAAGTGAAAGGCAAAGTGGATATTATGAGAAAATGAAGGTGGGGGTTATCCAAGATTGAGAGATATACGGAATAGCGTGTCACTGCACCGCAGTCAGAGGGAGAGTATCGGAACGGAAATTGGCGTGGTTCAGGGGGTCTACTTGCCGGTACGGCAGTGATCATGATCGGTACAGGGCACAGGGCTCGATAGTACATGTCGGCTCGAGGAGCGCGCCTTGCCATAAGCATTCGACTTTGTTAGATAATGGTATGGTATACTGCCCGGGGGTTGGACAAAGTCACAAGCGTCTTTTTTAATCGCTGGCATGACCGAAGGAAAATCGGCAGTATCATTTCTGACCGCGTTTTCAAAGAGTATTTCGGCCTCATTACCAGTAGAGACGGTCCAGCCCCATTACCACAGAGTTAAGAGCTGAAAATCGTGCAACGCACGTAAGAGCACACTGTCATGTTCGTCCTCACCGAGACTTAAACTTGTAAGAAGATAGTGTGATGGGGTAGCGCCTATACTTCCATCGATCAAGGAAACGTCAAGCACTTTATACGGTATGTCGCCCGGCGGTCCAATTTGTACAGAATCTGCTGCAGGATGAAGGAGAGTCCTGGATTCCTCTGCGACATAATAAACACCAGCCAGGAATTGGTTGACAGCGGTCTGTATGTATTCAAGGACGCCTGCCGGGCGAAAGTGAGATTGACGGCACGCTCTCTGAAGGATACCAGTGTTCGCATGAGGGAACGATCTGCCAGGCTGAGCACTCCAAGGAGATATGATATATTAGCAGCATGGATGTGATTCCTAAGGAGTGTGAGAGTTAATATAGTGGTACAAGTTCAGAAATACATACACTCTTGTGACCAAGTACAGTTGTTGTCAGTCTCCAAAAGTTCAGCAGATCTGTCTATGTCCTACAGATATTCGCCAATATCATAAGGAGAAAAGAATTAAGAAATACCTGTGACGGGCTTTCATGTCATGCTAGAAACCTCAGGAATTCCGTGCCTGCAGTTGACTCGGCTTTTGCCGGCCGGACTCAGTTCGGAAACGGCCCCCGAAGGCCAACCATCATTCTCTCACCTTCTCCATGTCCCATTCGACGGTTTCCCCCAGAGTTGCTTCAGAAAATATTGCGGCCGCACTTGCTATGTTGGTTTTAATTTTTGCTCTGCAGCCAACCAAGAAGAGACCAAGACTTCACAGCGCGAGAAACCCATCTTTGCATACTCAAAGAAGATCTTGTGTCAACTGAATGCGACGCGCGAGGGCGGTGTCGGTATTACCGCAGAACGTAGTTGTGTGCATGTTCGCGGATACTGGGGGCTCTTGCAGTGTAGGGCACGACAGGATCGTGCACAAGGAGTGCGCATATCTGCTATTTCACCTTTATCTTCATTTTCACCTTGTAACAGCTCCATTTCACTTCATCGGCTCCCTTGCTAGACCTCTTTACTCTGGAAGGTGCGTCCAACCATTCCAAAGATGTTCTCGAGTTCTTATATACAAGCACAGGCGCAGGCTCGAGACGCCAATTCGAACTCCACTCTGCACCATCTGACGCGCTAGAAACCGCCATTAACCACCATTTTGTCTCCGCCTGTTAGCAATGGGCATTCTTCTTCATGTCTTCAGGCGCGTCCTTTAGCTGGACTGCGCTACAGGAGGGTCAAGGACGTACGGAGTAATTCTGTTGTCAGTATCGGGGCGGAGACGGAGCACTCGTGTTTGGTATCCATCGGTTCGTATTTCTAAGACTTGTAGATCCCATCTTCATTTCCGTCCTAGATTTATATTTCCCTGCCGCTCTGAGCCGCCAAACCACGAACAGTCGCCAAAGCGGGAAAACGAGGCCATTAATTCGCAAGAAAGAAGGGAGTATTACGTCCGAATGTCATCATTAAAGACTTCCATTTTCTTCGAGAATGATCATTTGAGGCGACGATTCATCATCATCAAGTTGTTCATAACGTTAGCCTCTCTGTGGAGATCTCTGAAGAGGTGAGCTAATGAAACACTTGCTGAGAACGATGTTAACTGACTGCTGTCTTCTGGACTTTCATCTCGGCTTTATTTAGCTGCCCCGGTTTTCTCATCTGACACACGTCATGACCACTACGGTGCATACTTCATACGAAAATGGTATTCATCTGTGAATTGTGGTCTGCGTTCCCTGCGAGCCTCCGATATCACCTTGCGCTATACCGTACACGTCAACCCTCCGTCTAGAGCCAACCTCCCATTCCTCGTCTACCGATATCTTGTCTCTAAGAAAACGTACATAGAGCGGACATCGCTAACGTATTGTCCGACCTCGTTCACGAGTTCCTCCATCAGACGATAGATCGTATAGGAGATCAAGCGCCTGCCACTTCATGGACGTTACAGATCACCTCGAGGCGATAGGATCGCGGCATATCCGAGAGCGCTTCTCTGCTGGACCCGCTTTATGATGACAGCACGAGAAGGATGAGAAAACGCCTTGGATGACTTCTGTTTAGAAGGCTGGACATGATGCAGACGAATCATGCCGAGTCTGTGGCTTGACGAAATGTTTCTAGTCATGGTCGGTACTCTTTCATTCCCGAGCGATGCAAACAGCAGGGGGTGTATGTGTTCTTTCGCGTGGAAAGAAGACTTCTGTCTGTCCGCGCTGAAAACACTCACTTCCGACAATCTCATGAATGGCAATGGATTCCGCTACCGGAACTCGCCCTGCGTGTTGGACGCTTCGCTAAAGCCCACCTTCGGAGAGCATGGTCCGCTCTTCGCAGATATTTATAGGCCAGTAAATCTTTCATTCTGCATGTACCTCCCGCATCACCCTTGGATATGAACCTCTCCACCGATTTCAAGAAGTTTCATCTCGGCTGAATTGTTATCGCCATCCTGAAACGCCATGAATGAAAAGGAGAAACCATCCATGAGTCAATAGCCTCCTATGGCTTGATCCCGAATCTGCCGGCACCATTTACTCGTTTGCCAACGGGAAACCGCCCATGCGACATATATGCTCCCTGCCGCGCTTGGTGGTCATACAGTGAGTCATAATTTATGACGATGTTAAACTTCCTGCTCACAACACTTCTTAATAGCTCCTTACTGAGAACGCCGGTCTATCATTCATAGAGGGTATTTTATATGGCGTACTGTCATTCGGTCGATCTGGCGCACGATGGACGGTTTTTCTTGTTTACATCCCCCGGACCTTCCCAGCGTAGGAGTATCGATATCACAGGTCAGCGCCTAGGAGCTGTAGTGAGCTCTTAATAGAAGGACGGTCCGTCGGTACACATGATTGATTCTCAAAAGAAAGCCTATCCAACCCAATGACGACGAGCCACGTTTTGCAGACCTGAAAGTCAGTCTAGCACGCCTATAATCTCCACGGTGAACGATACTCGTGGGGCCGAGCGGGCCCACGTAGTGATATCAGTAATAGTTCCGTACGTCAGTAGGCCTCTTTTCTTTCTTGCCAGAAAGATACTGATAGTTTTTCTTTCCAGGTTGAAGAACCTTGTCGCAGCTCACTGTTATAGGGCCCGGTTGGTCGCAACCGTTCCGCAGACCTCATCTGAGCGTATCAGAAGCATATAATGTTGACTTTGCTCTTCCAAACCAAACCAAATCGCCCCGCTTCCCAACCCCAACCAATCTTCGCAAAGAGCCCAGATGCTGGACCTGTTTGCGACCTTCTTCGGCTTGATCCACAGCCCAACCTGCGACGCATCGTGGAGGAGATTCGGGATATTGAGGATACGCCGTTGCCTGCCATGACGTCCGTTGGTAGGGGAAGCATCTGTTGGTTCGTGATTTTTTGGTATCATTTTGTGATTGCTGGCTCACTTTTTTTTTTTTTGTGTTGACCAGGGAACCTCGCTTTCTTGGTGAGGGCTAACCATTTCGGGCTTGTGTCATCTCTAGCTTGGGTACCTTGAGCATCGTCCAGTATTCAGTTCGGGCGATGGCCGGTTGGATCGTTCTTGGTTCTCATCTATCTTCGACGGCATCTGTCGGTTTTTGCATCCGGGGAAGTCATGTGTGGTGTATTTCGCTGTTTCGTGGTGGAGTTCGTTGGTACGGGTGAGGATATGCACGGCACCTCCCGCTTGCAGCGCAATGTTGACTGTGACTGCAGGACACCGATGATGGGCAGTACTTCCCACTCCCCACGGGTTGTTTGGTTAATATGTACTTCGACCAAATGTTCCATCACATGGAAACTATTGTGCCGTTGTGGAAGGAATTCATGGACGTGCTCACAAGGACATCATATAAGCCGCATGGAAATTCTTGGAACGACCAGCGCAACCCGCCGTATCACCATCTCAGCCCGCCGTATAGCCATTTTGGAGGCGCTGTCTCTCGGCCATGCCCTTAGCGCTGCCACAGCGTTAACCGGTTCGGAGTGTGATTGAGTCCCCCCCCCAAATCGCGGGGAACTGTTTCCTCGCCGATAATTCGTATTCATACTGCCGCTTTCTCTCAGTCAGTAAACATAGGATCTCGGGTGGTGCTCGTTAGCGGGTATAAGATCATACTGGCTGGACAAAACCCATGAGTGGCGCTGTTTTGGTCATGGATTTCCAGTTCCGCGCAAGGGATTGCGCTCCCCGGCGGGATAGTCTGGCGGCGCCACTTGGCACTAAATATTCCATGAGAACATCTTCCGTTCGCATATCACCTGGGCTGTATTCATCGTTATGTCATGACTCACTGTAGCAATGACGATATTCATTCATCTTTTGCCGATCTGGAGATCTCCTTCTCTATCACAATTTGTATGGTTTGCCACATGGTGGTCTCTTTGGCATGGCCTGATTCTGATCGACCAAAAGCCTAAGCGACCTCAAGGCAACAGTCTGATATATGATCAATGGGTCACTTTAGATGTTTTCAACTAGGATTTTTTTCCGGTTGATCAAGGGCTCTTCTTGCGGTCCAACTTGGACGCTCTGTCTACGACCGGCTGGGACATCTCGAGATGAAAGGATTCATTTAACGCGGCGCGCTTATCTGATCATCTACCAGTCACGGGCCGCTCGCTGGTAGGCAGCTATTTCGGGTGGAAGTGACGAAAACTTGGGGATAAGCAGGCATCGACAACTTTTATTTTTGAACAGCAGAAAATATGCCGGCTTTACTAGTAAGGGAACCAGACTCTTTTGTTACGATCAAGACTCTGGATCTCTTAGTCCAAGTATTCTGTTTGGATTATTATAACTGGTTCGAATTACTCGCCTGCTATGAGCACAGGCTTAGTAGGTCCCTCAGCCGGCGCGCGATGTCAAGATGACGAAAGCTTGACATACCTTTAGAACGCTAGGTAGGTTCTTTGATGTCATACCGGACTCAATACAGCTTTCCAGTCATCTACGCCGCTTATCGGGTCTCATTTTTGTAATTTGCATTGCACGGTGCCTCGCGTTGCTAGGCTTCGCCAGGTCTCGATTTGGGGTCTCGGTCTAGCAATTTCCGTCGTGTCATGTTTCCGCGAAGAAGTATCTGACATCTACGCGACTGTTGCGCCTTTGTAACTTCGAATCTCAGTGAGTAGATCTTCCGGTTTGTACGCAGACATGACATCCCATCCTTCTCGCCCTTGAATCAGGAACGAACCGAGCCTCGAGGCGCTTGTGAGCGCGAATCACGGCAGCCGTTGGGGCTTGGACTTATTCTTTTTGATTACAGATGTTCGGATCTTTTGATTCGAAACCCCAGTCAGTCTTGTGGGGGGTCTCGAGCTATTTATTCAGCGTCACAGTTCAATACATCTTACAAATGTTTGAACCCTTGAATCCGAAGCTTGACGCTATCATCAGTGCCTTGATATTCTCAGGCTTCCTCCCGTTCCTCTTTACAGTTTTCACCCGGATAGCAGGGTCAAACCGTACGCACACCTGAAAGCAGTGTCAGGAGTTCCTTATTCTCGGTCCCTACTCTACGCTTTCCGGTTTAGCACACAACCCCGTCTTTTTATTTAACACCAATTGCATCCGGTTCGTCATTAAATCGGAATTCTCACCACCAAATTTCCAGGACTTTGCGCTTCTAAATCCGCGACATCTGAACCGCCAGAACTACTAGCTCGATACTCATTGACTATAAACGGCCTCCTCAAAGATCCTGCTGATACTTATCTATTAGGCGATCTAACACGTTTTGGGGGGCCTTTTCGCTTTACTCCTTGGCGTTATTGTGTGCCTTATCGGATGCAGAGGCCATGCGCCGCCAGACTGCCATATGTTTGCATCCCATCTCGAGCACTTCTTTCCGACCTGGCTCATCCTCTATCATCCTATCCCCTGCAAAGAGGCTTCCTCACGATGACTCTTGTGCGATTTATTGCCAAATTTTGGAAGATCCGAATTCACTCGCCCTTTCTGAAATTATGGTGCGGCGAATTCTCATCAGTCTTCTACTGGTCTCCTTCCTTCGCAGGCCGGAAGCCGCAGAAGAGGACCTCTAATGGGCCTATAATACAGAAATTGACTTCTGTCGTTATTTGATCACTGGCGCTTTTGCTGTGTGTTGTGATGACTGTGTGTTCATGCTAATTCTAGTCATGTATTGAGATTCTGCGCTCCCGTCTCAGAGATAACGAAGAATTGTATAAGACCCGCCGGATGTATTTTCATTGACCTAAATTCACGAATCGTGTGCAGTCCTCCGGCAATGAATGCGTGAAAACGGAAAATTCGCTTCAGGGATCTCGGATCGTACATAGATGCGGAGATGCAAATTTATTTCTATTCAATTTAAGATCAAGGGTTAATCCTAAATCTTTTGAAACACCGTAGGTCTTTCATAGCCTCTTATACCCAGCTCTGTAGGGTTTTGCGTGCATCGCACTGGGTATCTTCACCCAATTTTGAAGAAAATCAAGAGGAAAAGAAAAATCTAGAAAGCTCTTTGTTACACGACAAATCCGCATTATTTTTCAGCGTTGAGGTCGTGTTAATTTCTCGATGGCGTCAGATGAGTGTTGAATAGCGGCTAGCTGGAAATGCACAGGAGAAAAATTGTACTTCATACATACGCATATACTGCAAGTAGTACACGTTCAAATAGAGTATTATATAACAAGAAACGCAAAGGAAGAGGAGCAAGGAGATGGTAGATATAGAAATCCAATACACATGGCTGTACACGCTGAGAAACAACTCAAAAAGATGTGAATCATGCTATATAAATGTGGGTTTGTATCAAAGAACAGTTTTGAGGGAAAAGCAAGCTGCGAGAAATGGCACGAAGACTGGTGGAAAAACAGAACTGGAGTGTGGCGGTGTGACGGAATCCACGTGACCCCAATGTTTGTGACAGTTCGCGTTTTTGCAAGTTCGTCTCAACCACCGTTACACGCTATTACCACCGCTCTGCCAGCCTAGAATGTTCGCTGATGATCTCGAAAATGGGTTTCGAGGCATGTTCTCAAAGGCCAAACTTGCTGAAGCGATCGTCAAAGATCACAGTCGTCGACAGATTCAGCAGGACTCGGAGCGGAAAACCTTCCCAAAGCTTCCACGCCAGGAACATCAGGATGTTCGGAAGCGCGGCGTTATAAGGGAGTGGCCTAGGGACCCGAAAGGCCCTCTCATGAAAGCCACGCCTCCTGGTAAAGTGGCAGGCAATAACCAGCCTTTGTGGGGTGCCACTGTACTCGATTTTTTCCGTACGATGCGTATGCCGGATTGTCCATATCTCTCCACGATTTCTACTGGGAGCAAGCTCTGCGCATGGATGAAAGAGATTGGAGAGCTCGGGCATGCGAAAGACGAGATTGCTTGGGCTGAGCGGGAAGCGGAACCTGAGGAGCTATTCCCGTGCGACATGGCATTGATACTCAGGGATGATGACCATAGACCACCGATTGTTCAAGAACTGCTTGACAAAAATTTTACAACCGTACGTCAAAAAACCATTATCTTTACAATAAACTAAGTAATGTTTCCTAGAAAGAAGGCAGAATTTCGGCGCAGCGCTACTTGAAATTCCAAAACCGTCTGCCGCTTCATTTGCTTCCAGAGAAATTAATCGTTCATGACCCGGATGATACTCTGCATGTTCATACTAGGTACGAGCGACCTCCCGAAAAACGTTCTACTCCTCGTATCTACAAGCTCCATCTCACCCAAGAAACTCGAGACTCCATCACCAAGGAACGAGAAAGACTCGCTGCGGCTGATAAAGCCGAGCCCAAGCAAGGCAAAATGTACACCACTGCTTCGAAGAACATCATGACTGGCAAGGTAAAGGAAGGTACGGTTATCGAACCGATTTTCGCGGTGCCCCCTCCTGCTCCACCCACGCCTCTTTCGACTCCCGAAGCTCACCTGTACATCAATTCCTCCGACTGTCTTGGTGAAGGCAACCACTCGTATGTCTACCGTGTCGGGTGGGAGATCCCCCGCAGCCTGGTAATGGAGCCGTACGTCTGTCGAGCATGCATCCCGCAGGCGCTCTTCGACAAGCTCAGAGAGGAAGAACCCGAGGCGAAGATCGATGAGACTGAACCTCTTGACCATCAGATCGAGGACTTGATGAGAACCATCGCTGTCAAGCATGGGAGGCAAGGAAAGATGTGGATCGAGGAATGGGCAAAGCCTGACGAGGAGCTTGAGATTGTAGATGACACGGGTGGACGACGGAAGGTTCTCTTCACTAGAGGTGGTGGTGAATCCCGCACCTTTTACGAAGGTACCGCTCTCCAGCTCCCTATCGATGTCAAGTGGACGGCACCCGGGAATTTCTGTCAGCACGAAGAGATCCGTAACCGAGCCCCGATGACATTCAAAGTCAGCGTTGGAGCCAAGCTTTCTATCAAGGGCGACGGCCATCTCGAGCATGAGGCGAGGAACTATCAAAAGTTCCCCGAGCATTTCTTCCAGCACTGGAGTGGGTACAACGTTATTGAACCTCTTCACGCACCTACGCCTGCACTTGCAGTTGTGCCCCAGTTTTATGGTTATTATGTTCCGGAGGAGGGTGAAGCGGAAGATGGGGAATACCTGAGTCCAATTTTGCTCATGGAAGATTGCGGTGTGCCTGTTAATGTTGACGAGCTGGACCTGGATGACCGGTACGTTTCTTCCAAAGTATTTTTGGTGTACCTTAGCTAAATGATGCTTGGTTCAGCCACGAGTGCGTTTCTTTACTCTTCCGCATGCACTGCGAGGGGTGGCTGCATAACTCGTTCTTCCCGAGGAATATCCTCATGCAGCATGGCGACATGAGCGATTGGCCGATCTGCCGGAAGAAGGAAGACCGGCGCTTCCGTCTCATAGATTTTGGGCGATCGCAGTATTTTCCGCTGGGGGAGACCAGGGGAAACTTTGGGACTTCGAGAGCCGTAGAAGAGAGGGACTGCCAACAGATGTTTAAGATTATTAATCATCGTTGGGATTGAGTTTGTGCTGGCTTTCGTTGTTGTATTTTGTAGTTATCGTAGTTGTCACGCATAAAGTTTTCGAGTTGCTGTATTCTCAATAGGTTTCAACGTACACTTTCAGCTTTCTCCAATTGTACTTTCCTTTACGGTGGTTTACAATCAAATCCCTTATCTTCAGAGGCACAAATAACACCTAGCATCCATATACATAACATTATGATGATCTTTGTGACTCCTTCATGGTATCAACCAACCACTCAATCATCAATTGGTGTCAACTCGCTCAACCGCTTCTCCCTCGCTATAAAATCAAATATCGGCGTACCGTGGATCCTATCCTTCTCTACCAGAAACCTAACGTAGAGCCGCTCACCACCGTCCCGAAGAAAATCCCGTTCCCCCACTGTGGACAAGGATACGCCCGATAGTTTTTCACAAAGGCTTGAGCCACTGCTCTGGCAGCTGCCAAAACCTCCACTTACGCAATGTCGTCTGGAGGGACATTCCTGATGAGAGAACTCCACCGGGATAACATCGCGCTCCGGTGTCGGGGCGCCAGGAGCAGCATAGGAGCCTTCGCGTCCTATGTAGGTCCGACAAACGGCGGAAAGGAGGAGTAAACCGCGGAAGTGCGTATCTGAGCTGACTGGAGCTGCTTCGACTGAGGGTAGGGGATGGAGTATGTGCGAGAGGGGCTGGGGCGCGTGATTTGCCCGGGCCCCTGCAGAGTCACGCCACCGATGATGATGTTCTCCGGTGCGACACCTCCCGCTATGAGGTGCATAACGGCGTCCGTTGCTTCGCGTAATTGGATTTGGTTAGGGAAAGTGGCATTGGGGACAAGATCTGCGATTAATAACAGAAGAATATAAGTAAGATCTCAGTCGGGCACCGCGAGTGTGAAACGGCTATATTGAAGTCACTGTACCTAATAACAGAAGCATATAAGTGAGATCTACGAACGAGGGTGAGTAATATAATAGCAAGCACGGTAAGATATACGTACCTCAGCCGGGCGCGTGAAACGACTGAGGAGTAAAGACAGGAGGTGTATATATAAAAGGAAGTAAGAACGAATGGCGCGTACAAAATGAGCCTCGGTGGAAGACGGCTCTCCTGGTTGCGTTACATGCAGCTAATATCGGTATCGCCATCACTGCATACTGCGCCTATGAACTTCTAGCCAGGTACTGGCTGGGCACATCGCGTTGCTGATGGAGAGTATCCGTATCGTATACCCTCTGACATTCCTTTAGAGCAAAAAACAATTCGTCCAATCAAAGAGATTCTCTCTGCCGTGTCTGCCACAGGCTACCATTGGATGCACTGAATTCGACTATCAGCACAGCACGGCACCCGTCTCCGAGCTGCTTTCAAAACCCCATTCGCCGACAAGAATCAAGTGGCGCCAATTGACAGCGGTTTGAGTCTGGGCTCGGGGGTCTCTCCATCCAATCAGAGTATATCGCATCCGGCATGGCGAAATGTATACTTCTATTGGGTCGCCATTCTGTGCTCTCTTATTGGCTGGTCCGACCTCTCATTGGCTAGAGCGTCGTAGATGGTCTTCATCAACTACGATATGTTCTAGGAGCTGTGCGCGGTCCAGCCGACTACATTACTGGGTACTTAAGAGAAATATCATGGAAAGTAATTTTCCCAATTTTCGATGCCTCGCTTCCAGATTCGAGACTTTGATATCCAAATTCTTTTCTTCCTTGCCTCCATTCTCAGTCGCAATGCCGCTATATCTGCCTTTCTTCTTCTCATTCTTCTGACCCGCACCATCGTATGGCCTATAGTAGCACCCTTGATGCCGAGTGCACGTCTCGCAGAGCTTGAATCAGCACTAAAAGCGACCTACCCACTGCTCGAAATGCAAGATAATATATCTCATCCCACTTACAATTCCCGCATCCGCCTGAAAGGGTGAGTATTCTGGCTTGCTTTGTACGCCGGTTTTCAGCCCAATTGTCAGTTTTGAGAGGGAGGTCCTCAGACTTTTCAAGATGCGCCTAAATATACAACGTCGATTGATTCTTGGCGGGTACTCCTGGAAGGAATACTTTTGTGACATGTGGAGTATCTGGCGCGGGGCTCAAGCTTGTCGAGAGAGGGTCGATGTATTTCGAGTCGAATTGGAGGCCAGGGTTCTACATTCTCGAGTCGCTTATTTGACACTCTCGAGTTAGATGGCTATTGTGGAAGACTCGGAGGGCAGGTATATGGATATTCTCCGTCGTTATGGAATGGGCGAGGCAACAACATCAACCATAGTTCCCATGAAGCTCCATCATCCCTATCAGGCTGTATAACATTACCTCCTTACTGCGGGCAATGACACTGGGGGCTGAACAATGAGAGCAGCTTATGTTAAGGACCAAAACGCGCTGGTCAAATGACTAACTCTAGACGTATTTGCAGATTTACTACTAGTGAACCCGTTATCCTATACAGTGTTGAAAAATGCGACCAAGAAATCATTGGAGGGGATAGCAAGAATCTGGAACGACGAAGAAAGCGCCATGTTAGAATCTGATACATCTGTTGTTACCTCTGCAGTCGGCCGTTAATGCCACCGAATCCCGATGAGGCTTTAATACAAAGCCCCCCACTTCCTGCAGTGTAACGCTATTTTTAGGGGTCGCGCTGATGGCTGCCTGGACTGTCCAAGCTATGCTCCCTTGGATGCACCTAGGTTCACCCAGACACGTCGGACCCAACGCCTTCTGAATGATGTAACTTCGGCTGCGCTTCTACTATTCTCTGCGGACATGAGATCTAGCCATGGAGGATATGGTTTGTATCCATCGTGACCTAAACATATTCGCAATATAAACCACCTTCAGACTCCGTCGACATCATGCTGCTCGTCCAGCAACTTCTACTGTAAAGTCGCGACTCTTTCGGAGCCTAGTACTACAACAATCGACATATGGGATGCAGTCCTCCAGGTGGGCTACATCGTACTGTGTATTCAAACAATATACACCCATAACACTTCTGTGGGAGGAAAAATGCCTAAGCATTGATGTGTGAGAGAACAAAGAACGATGGAAGTGACGTACCCAGTTAAGCGCCACCAAAACAGATGCAAGGATATCTCCCAGGGTAACATGGCTATCAGCCTCGATGCCAGGCAGACGATAGAAAGGTTTAAATTATCATCAAGACCGTATGCGCAGCTGAAAAGGTCTGACTACCGAGCTTCATCGATATCCTTCTACAATTAGCACTCGAATCGAAAAGACAGAATGATGTTGAAGTTCCTCTTTCATCGATGATTGAGCATGTCGCTGCCGACCTGCGATCGTGTGAAAAAGCAAGAAATGCAAGCTTGGCTGTCACGGTCAGAATGAATGTACCAGCCACAATCAAAATCTTGTTGAGATACACGTACTGCACTCTCCGTGAGCACGTGTGTGGCGAACGGCGGGCTTACAGCGACGTACTCATGCCGTTCTTCGCCTATGTAAACAGTCAACCAATGCAGACAAGGATCGTGCTGTGGAACGGGATCCCTTCGGTGAACTCCTACGGAACAGAACATATCACCACCTGGTGCAAATGCCGAATATCCGGCACACAGATTCTGACGACTCTGCCCGGGCTTTGGATGGGGACCGGCCTTCGCATGTGACGGAGTCTGTAGGTATGTTACATTCACCTGTTACGAGATTCAGTCAGTTAATGCTCACGAAAAGAGAAAGGTATGTGCTCACAAGAATCTCGCACCGTCAATTCCTCCCGGCGCTCCAATCTGCACTAGATACACAACACTTCATTATTCTCTGGGTTGAAACCACATCCCATGTTGCATCGGATAAGGGCAAAGATGTTCGCAGAGCCAAGGTTGGGGAGACAGATATCTGGAAATCCCCTACCACCAAATCTGCACCAACGTTTTAGGGATCTGAACGAAGCTTTATATCCTAACCCCTTCAGAGCTTCATCCACAGTCAACACAACAGTACTGAATGAACAGACATATAACGCATACCAGCTCGACGCTCGTGGTCCACTATGCCCCCACCCCTGGATACGCGAGTTCTCGACATCATACTTCCTTTGACATCATCAACTTGGGGAGCACCTAGATCAATGTAAAATTGACTCGGCTTCAAACGGCAGTGAATGTATAAGGCAACTCACATAGCCGTAAGAGAAGCTTAGGTTTCTGGCAAATGCCTAACGTGTGGGCGAAAAGAAGATTTCTTGCATAACTGATGTCGTTGGGTCATGGCAGAAATTATTCATGACTAGTCAGAAACATACATTGAAGTTGAATCGCTTCTAGTGTTGACAATTGGCCGTAATATAGTACGGGGTATATCCTCTTCATTGAACGGGGTAAGAAGCATATTCGAGGGTAGTCATCCTGCCTTGAAATCAGTATGAGATCACATATATGCACCCAAATATGTACGTGCGGTCATTTTCACTGCTAAAAGTCAAATACCTGTAAGTATGCGTATATAACAGGAGGAAACAGATGGAGACATACGCGAGGATAGTCCATTAGCATGGGCTGCTGGCAACCGTATGGTAGGCGTCGCCTCATGGTTCAATCTTTCATCCGGTTCTCTATCTTGACCGTTGTATTCGTATATCACATCCGATAAACGCCCTGACAACAGCAATTGAGTAACAGATCGTCGATGATACGTGCAGAGTTGAAAAGGTCTAGGGCTAGGATGAGGATAGGTTTGACTCTACGAACTGACTGCCATACCAGCGAATGCACAACATGAAATCTCTGGCATAGCTAGTAACCAGCGTGGCTATCGCCGTCTTTACAGGACCTAAAGAATATAAAACTTAATCATTTTCAAGCAGCAACACATATATGGAGGCTCGCATCGTCTTCGAGGATCGACGGGTAGCGTATAGCCCATGGATCGAAGGGGATTTCTTCTTGAGCTGGCCTTGTCGAGTTGTCAGAGATTTCATGGCAGCATTTTGGAAAAATAGGTCCGGCTGAAAAGAAGGAATCGAATGATGTCGACAGCGTGAGAAGATGATGATGGTAGTAGAAGGGAAAGGCGCGTCTTTTGTTTGCTTCAGTTTCAGTTTGTTCGGTGGGCCGGGCCAATGGTATTTCTCATCCCCCCTGCTTCAACAATCATTCAGTCCCAACGCTGCTGACATCCTAGTCTCAAAATATATCTTCAAGAATTCATGGATCGCGATATATCTCATATTTTATCCATGAAATCCACTGAGCTCCAGCGCGATACTTTATCTGGATCAATACTTTCCCTACTTATCTCCTCCTTGGTAAGTTCAAATCTCCTTCTCGTAAAATATTTATTCAACTCCTCATAGGAACAAATCAACATCTCGCGCCAGTCACAAGGGCAAATCTGCAGCGATGGATGAAGGAACTCGACCCCATCTTCTGGGACCCATTTATCCTCTCCCCCGTAACACTAACTTCGTACAGTGTCATGTCTTATGGTATAGTCCCAATGTTTCGGAAGTCCTGTCGTTGTCAATAGAACCCCTACCTTCTGGAGACTACGGGTGGTTCTTCCCCAGTCTGTCTGCTTCGCACCATACCGGACTGATACTCATTACGATTCCAGATGGAGGCTCAAGTATCCCGTCACTGCGACACCTCCCAGATATGTGTTCGTTCACCACCATGCAGCGCGAAGATATCCAAAACGAGATACCAGGTGCACGGCTCAGCGATCCTTGTACATTGGTATGAATATCCATGGCTTCTTTCCCCCATTTTCAATGAGCATCTTGAGCAGTTATACATCCCTCCTCTAATCTAACAATAGGTCTTGGAACCCGATAAAAATTCATGCAAACCAGGTCCAGGGCAACTATCGCATCATAATCTTCCGCCACATGAGATCAGCCTGACACCTCCTCCTTCCACCCACCCACATCTCTCCCCCCACGGAATCCAGAAAGTTTAAAATTCCTCGAGGGGCATTTCCACAGCTCTCTACGAGCGAACACCCTTCATGGCGATGAGCATGACCCAGGCGCGATCCAAGATCTGATGTCCGAGCTAGGCGTCGGCGGGAAGGATGGGGACGATGAGATGGTTCCGTTGTCGGATCCACGATGGAAGACCGTGGTCGGTAAATTGATCCCAGAGAAGGTCATACGAGATAGATTAGCAGATGCAAGTGATGTCTAATCCCTGGTTTCGAAATGGAAATTTATTTTGTCCCCCATGCAGCCTCCGGCTGGAAGATGAAAGGTAGGTTTGCCCTATCACCTTTATTTAGGCTGCCGTGATGCTACAAGTCGTCCCACGGGAAAGATGTCGTTATAGAGTGACAAGATATCTTGTCTTGACTACGCACAGGATCCTATACTTCGGTTGAATCTAAAAAGGAAGACTTCTAATTTCTTCCACCTTCTCGATAAGCATGTTGATTCTCCTCTGACAAGGAAATTTTAACCACGTGGAAGTTGGACTGCTTCTCTCGCTCAATTGCTCGCCGAATGGTATAAAATGTCTCGGGAGAAGGTTTCGATCACCCAGGAATGGCCTACACATTCCTGCCTGATGTTCCACATAGTTTCGACCCACAAATCAAAGCAGACACTTCTCGAATCTCTTGTCTCTGTACACTTTTTTTTCTTATGTCTGGGATATCTACTTTCCGGACGAATCCCACCCAGACCCACGCCGTATCTGATACAGACGATAAGGTAGCGTGCACTACTCTCACGGGTTTCTTGCCCTCATTTCATGTGAGCTTGCAGTCCGTGTCATTCCTGTCGTTTTCCTCATAATCAATGGCCTCGCCATGGATAATGGCGATTTTATCAATGTGCTTATTGCCACCCCAGTATGTGATCTGATTGACATTGCATTCATGGTATGGAACGGAATATGGCTACATACGGTTGATATATAGTAGGCTCCTTTCAAGGAGTGTATTCAAGGATTGAGCGATGCGATTGCCACATAGTCGGCCAATAACTGGGCCGCATTCAGTCAGAAGGGGTGCTTGGATGGCATTGTCAGCGTAAAAGCTCACATTATATCTCCTAGAGTCTATATAACTTTGTCTTCTTTTTGACGAGCTTTAGGGCAACACAAGAGGAAGTGAAGAGACACTACGAGACTCAGGAATTGAACTGAGAGGAAAAAAACAACAACAACATCTATTGATAATAAAGAAATACTGTAGCCTCTACAATAGGGTGGTACAGTACGTTTCTCTTTTCCGGTTTGTATGACTTGGGGAACTGAGTCCTGCCAGAATCAATAGCTGTCTGCCATTATTGGTGTAGAGGTGATTAGGAAGGAAATCAGAGCCTACTAGAAAATATCGGTTCTCACAGTTTCTTTCTTGAAGTGAAATAGTTGCATCAACGGTGCGCATTCGACATGACGAATTCTGGTGATCGGCGCAACGCAAAATGACACGTCTCGGTATCTCCGATTTCGTCAATGACGTCAAATTTAGCATTTTCGAGTCTTCTGTGACACTTCCTTAGATCCATGGAGGAGGTACCGCTGATACCCACGGCCCGAGACCCGTTCACGGCACCAGGGAATTTCATTTTTCTGCACCTCCTTCTTTAACTCTCACAACCACGCGTTTTTCTCTTTTACTTCGATCTTCGCGACGAATTATTGCTGAGCTATTCCAAATAAACTGTGTGTCAGCCTCTTCTACATGCAGATCGTCAACTGGACCGGTTTCACTCAAAATTGATATGAGACTTCTTGGCACGAGAAGAACTTGTATATTTCATCTCTGAAAGCAAAATCTGGGTGGGCTCTCCTGCCTACATCTCTTTGAATTATCCGCTTTACCTTCGGTTCTCCAGCATGCCTCCATATCAATATTTGAGTCCTGGGTATTAACCGCCATGTCAAGAGGAGTATCGACGTTGCGTCGCTGATGGAACGCAGATCCCTGCCACCGTAAAGGTCGCAATTCCCTCATCGAAAGCCCATGGTGTCAGTTTTGAATGCTTCTCTTACCGAGATTGTCACATAAATGTGATCGCTTTCTTCGAAAAGCAAACGCTGAAATGTAGAGAGGGATATTATAACACTATATATGACCTAGTGAGCTCCACTGGTGCAAATACTGGTACGATAAGTGGGGCTCGTTGTCGTCACTTTCATTTGGCGCATGCTGTGAACCATTGGGTAAATTATATCTGTTAATATTGACTATCAATGTCGACAACAGTGTTAAGTTGTTTCTCGTTATTCTCTGTTTAGTGTCGTTCGTAAAATCAGCTCCAATGGACTGGAAGTTTTCAAGTCTTCCTCTTCAATTATTCTGTTCCACTGGACTACAGTTTTCCTTCCTCTGGTTGTCAGTGCCATTTTCCCCGTGAGGCACATATTTGCAAGAGCATGGTGAAGAACTTGCAAACTTGGGTACCACGACCTCATGGTTACAGTCGAATATCTGGGGACTGGCTACAACTCACCCTCGCATGGCAATGCATCACACACCTCAAATGGCTAGGAGAGTAGGCAAGCCAACTGGGCATCTGTATCTATGTCTTCTCAGAGCAAAATTGTTGCCCCATTTCCTCACGGAGGAAACGTTGATAGGAAGAGAGTTTCCTCGACTGGGAATAGACATGAAAGGTTCATATTTCCGCCACAGTGGGTTGCATACATGCTCTCCTGTGCGTGTTCCGTGGAAACATTCCTCCTGTCAGTGAATTGACAACTATATCATGCAGCTCGTTCTCGTGTCCAACTAATGTTCTGCCGCCATGCTTCAATTCGTCGTCTCATATCCGATACAAACGGACGTGAAGCTATGGGTCGGTTTCTCGTTATGCATTGCTTCGATATCATAACCGTTTACTCGGCGACGACTTACATTCAAAGACTATAAGGCGCTTATCTTTTGCGGCACTTCCACACCATCATGATTCGCCTTCTTTTGTTCGGCTTCTACAAGTATCGAATGATACCTACTTTTTATGGGATCGACACTACAATGAAAGGAGTTTTGCTAACTCCGAGTCCTCTTCACGTACATCAAGCGCGCCTAAAGCTGGACTGTGATGTATGTTTCAGATCGATGGACCAGCGTCTAACCAGAGGCAATACTTCATGGCACCATATAGCGCTCTTGCTATGGCGTAAAAGGACCATTAGGACTTCCAGTAGACGTCCACATATTTCACTGATGGTGTTCTTTAACGCCAGCACCAAATAAGTGCATTTGGATTGCGGCGACTGTTCTACAATCGAGCTGGATAACGATATCGAGCATCTACTCCGTTCCCGTTTGTGCACGCTCGAGGGGTTTCAGCACATAAAGAAAAGAGTTCACGGGCATACTAGATTTCCACATATTCTTCTGGCGCTACGCAGTAGCCCAGACTACAATCCCTGATGTAAACAAACCACACGTATACCACGACTTTCACTAACAATGGACTTTTCACATATAAAGAGGCTCGCCTCTACTTTGGTATTCGTTGCTTGGTTCACTCAACATGTCTCGGTACTGCACTTTTCTGGTACGCGTCTGTTCCTCATTATCTGACAACTTCTAACGTTCCATGTTGACCAGAGGAACATGTCATTCTTACTCCTCTCTGCACTAATCTATGGCTCGTGTTCGCCATGTGATTCTCCTGCTCAGGCAGGGCAACCTGGCGACAGCCAACGAACCATATTCAACATCCTCTAGAGCTCTCTGGCCACCATCTTTGCTTGTATTTGGATCGCCATCCATCCAAATGTCCCAGGGCCGCACTTGATGAAGAGAGGGTGGTTCTTCACCTCGGTTCTTCGTCGTACGGAATTGATGATCGTCACCATTTTCGCACCGGAGGTCATAACCATATGGGCATTACGCCAATACTTCGCAGCACGGAGCATTCGTAGGCGTGAGTACCTCCACCTCGTTCTACTCAAAGTCGGACTAACCATGACTCCTAGTCTCTTCCAAGATGACCCTGACACACGGCTTCCTCGTCTCCATGGGCGTGTTTGTATACTCGGACGAAAGTCCAGTTACCCGTCAAAATCTAGAAGACGACCCCCGTCTGGTAGACCTACTAAGCGAAATAGACAAAAAGGAAATCGATGACCGCAGCAAGGGCGATGGCCTCTCTAAAGGACTCGCCATCCTCCAAGCCACTTGGTTCATATTACAATGTGCTGCCCGAATAGCTCGCAACCTCCCCATCACCATCCTCGAAACAGTAGCCATCGGCTACGCCGTTTTCACCGTCATCAACTATTGGGCATGGTGGCATACGCCACTCCAAGCCGGTCTACCTTCACCATCTATCCTAGACTCCCGACCACAACGTCCTATGAAATTATCCCACAAAAACTAAATACAGATTATCTCTTAGATTGGACAGACTTCCGCCTGTTGAGCACGTTCTTCGGAGGAGATGTCATCGAACACGTTGCTGGTCCATCTAAGGAAGAGGGCGCTCCTCGTCTTTGGTCAGGACATCCGAACAACGACACACTGTTCTACGTCGTTACAGGCGGTGCGCTTCTCGGTACCCTCTTTGGGGCTGTTCATTGCGCTGCCTGGCGCTCACACTTTGCGACGTCAATCGAGAAAAACATCTGGCGGGTGTCGTCGCTCTACATTGCATTCATTCCTATACCTATCATTGTTACGACATTCACGGCTGAAAAATTGGCGGCTTACTTTGGGTTTACCGAACGCGACCAGGATAACCCCTGGTTTGGTGGTGCGTATCGACTCCTTTGGATCTTGTTCTATATGGTATATATCGTGGCCAGAGGGTTTTTGCTTCTCGAGCCGTTTCTTGCGATGAGGTCTCTCCCTCCCGGTGCATTTGTAAATATTGAATGGATCGACTTCCTTCCACATATATAAGAGATATTTTCCTCTTACTCTTACTTTAGTTAGATTCGCTAGAATTTCATATACACTGTCATATACGCGATAGTGTAGAGATGCTTTGCATTTTTTTCTCAATGAATTTTTCTTCGATCAGTATCGATTATGGCTTGTATTTCTTGTCTCCCGTCATTTCTACTTTGGAATGGAGCTACAATTCTGGAAGGAATTGAGAAGAGGATGTATCCTAATGCTCAGTAAACAATGATACAGTATAAAGTACTTGGATGTCACAATGAACCCAATATATTGATCTCTTTAATAGTAGTGTTGATGATCACTGAGATAGTTTCAAGGTTAGCTCTGCAGGAGTAGATGTAAAGTATGAAAAAACAACAAAACCTCAGGAAGTCCATGCATCAAGTCATACCTTTAGCCCATTTGTGGTGTTCACACACAGTTGAAAAAGAAAAAGGTATTTTGTTCTTGGTTGCACCAAAAGGCAAACAATCAAAACCCTACTACAACACATGTTTGATTCAGTGAGGAATAGAAAATGAGGATCAAGGAGACTCATGATCTCATTCCCAAGTCCAAGTTGAATGAGGCTGCTCAATGACATATGACTGGGGATTTGGTTCAGGATGGCAATGGTGACTAGAAGAGAGATTTGAGAGAAGGAACTCATATGTGATGAATATATATTTTGCTTTCCAAGCTCCTTTGACAGATTCTGTGGCAGCAGTTGGGATAGACCATGAGAAGGTGATGTTGAGCTAATTCCATCTCATCAAAGTTTATAGTGCAGAAGTCATCCTGGAAGAGATATAGGTTGAATATTTCATAGTGACTATGAACTGAGCATATATATGTATGGCAGGTAAGTGTAGTTTTAGCACTATAGCAAATTTTGAATCCCTTGGATTATCTGAAAGTACTGTAACTCAGTCTACAAGTTGCACTTGCAAATGCTTGGAAACATGATTCAAGATCTGTCCTGATAGTAAAGGTAAAATACATATATATGAGGTGTAACACACATCCTATGGACCTCCACTCCACAAACCAGCTTCATTGTTTTCATGTGATGAAGGAATACTGAGTGTTTCTCTTTTCTCCAAGTTCATCATTTTCTGTGGACACCCACAGAATACTAATAATTTTATTTCTTATTTCAAACTACATTTCATTTATGATTTTATTTTCAATCCAATTCTGAAATGGTAGTGAAGAGATTATGTGCCAGAATCCATCAGTCTCTGACTTGGACTAGCTACTTAGTATAAAAGCTGTAGAATACATTTCACTATCTCAGTTTGAATATAAACTTGGTTCAGTCCAATAACTCCTTGATCCTTCAGTCAATACTCTTATCTATGGACCTCTAACTCTATTAGACTTCTCTTTCCTCCTTTGTCTTACTCCATGGACTTCCATTGATATGCAGGCAACATGTCCAGCCCTATAATTTGCAAATTCTGCATAACACACTAGAATATGCTAGTAACTGAGGATCATTAGCCAGTAGAGGACTATGGCTGAGGCTCTGAGCTGATAGTCATGCTAGTCACTAATACTAAGTTGAAATTGGACTTTGTAAAAATAACATGGCCTAAGAATAAAAATCCTAAGTCAGGTTTGAACTTAGAAAAGTTCTGCATCACACCTTGGAAAATACTAAGTCCAAGTTGGATTTAGAAATGGTACCTCAAATGAGGCCAATTCTACATGCCACTAAGACAAGCATATTCTAAGACAGCTAGGGGTATAATACCATAGCCAGTTGTGGAGTATTGAGTAAAGATAGCATCATCCAGGAGCAGTAAGAAGAGAGACCCAATGATCTGTGGCTAGCACTATGAGTTTTGACTCAAATGTCTAAGTCAGAATTTCCTAGGTATCAGGTGACCTAAGGGACTTAGAATTGAGAGGAATAGAGTGGATAGGACCAGTTGACCGGGCCTGACCGGGCCTGATCGATCAAGCTACTAAGAATAACTCAGACGATTAAAACTTTGAGTAGACAGAAAGGAGTTAGGTACCCACAGGCACTGTAGGCTTAAAATAAAGCTGTGCGGTGGCCAGGTGGGTCTGGGCAAGCCTAGGGGAGTCCAGGAGTGCCGCCATTCTGGAATAATGGCATGATTCCGCTTTAAACAGGAGAAATATTATTCTGAATGCTTTATTTATAGATTCTGTACCTGTTGTTGGTGTATAAAAGAAGGGAATGGGAGGAAAATAGCAAGCAAGCAACCCACCCCTGTGTTCAGGCCTTCTATCCCACTGTAGCTAGTCCCTGGGACAACAGATTTTGAGTTCTGCTTCGACTTAGTGATTTATTTAAGTTGCTTTGTCACTTAGAGAGGATTGGATTGGAATAATAACTGTATTTTGGGTTTTGGATTAATTTGGGTTCCAAACTATAAGGGTTTTGGCATCAGAATACAAGTTCTTCGGTTTTGAGGACTGCTAGCCAGCTAAGAGTGCAGCTAGTCAAGCCTAAGTGCTTGATAGACTTAGTATTTGGGTTTTGGAGTTCCTTGGGTTTCAGAATATTCTAAGTTGATTTGGAACACAATTTTTCATTGATTCTAAGTCCTAATTATACTTAAACATTGCTATAAACTGCTCTCATGAGTATTGCATCTTTGAAAGCAAGATAGAGTTGAATAACTGTCTTTATTGACTGTTTCTTTGATTTTACTTAAGACTGCAAGAGCACTGAAGAGGATCTGAGTGCATGCAAGGTGAAAACAGATACAGCAGAGCATTATCCACTGACCACACTCACACCAACACACACACAAAACTCTTAGTTCATGGGGGGATTATAATATGATAACAGTAGTAATCAACAAATATAATTGTCTTCTTCAATGAATCCACAGCATGCAAACAGTAATAGCACATGTACAACAGTCCTAGATCTCTCTAAGTCTCAAAGCTTTTCGTTTTATCAGAACAAGAGGTGGCAACAGGTGTTGCCAGGCCTCAAGGCAATAGGTACTGCAGCTCAATACAATATGTCAAAACACTCCCACAAAACCCTCAAAATATCCTAAGCACAGCTCAGATCACCTCAAAATCCCTAACACACACAATACATGACTCAAAGCTTTGTGCTCTATGCAAAAACCAATCACAAACACATCCACAAGTGCCAAAGAGCACAGATCTCTGTTCACAAGTTTCCAAACCAATCATAGACCCACAGGATTCAAACCTATGTGATCTAGAGACACAAAACATAATAAACACCATCTGACAGACCAAAGGGTTTGAACCTCTGCCACCTGTAGTGCTGCACATCACAAATACCTCAAAAACTCAAGATGATGCCCTTCAGACACCACTCTCTTATTCTCAGATTAGAGCACAATCCAAAACCTCTTATCAAATTGGGCTCAAGTCCTTCATGAGCTTTGATGCCTCACTTAGTTCTCACAGCTCTCTCAATGATATCCAATAATCAGTTTATTCTCTCATCTGAAGTTACAAACACAAACCCAGAGCTAGGGTGCAATTTCTGTGCCCAATACACTGCAACTGTGGGGGTCAGAAACTTGTATTCTATTCATACAATGCAGTATTTAAATACTCTACTATGGTATCTTCAAAGTGTGGGACTCCATGCCAGATCCCACAGGTATTATTCACATGCATATCACAGTTGCCATGCTTATTCTCTTCCAGGCCAGGACTGTGCAATGTTTCCTCACTAGCTGGCCTTGGCTAGCTGGCCTAGCCAGATCTGCTCACTTTCTTATTTCCCTGGTGACACATCCCTGACAGCAGTAAACTGTTCCAGACCCCCAGAGTTATCTCCCATGTCTGGAGTCAGCCACAATGGTTATGTTCTCTTTTCCAGTGTCTTGACATTCCCTCCAGCTCACAAAATGCACTGTTTCTGGCCTGACATGCACCAATTAACTCACCCAATATGGTATGTGTCATACCTCAGTATGATGCAGAGTCCCTCTCTGTGTCAAGTGTGCTAAGGCACTGTAAGTATGCATGTGAGTCTCTGAGCCATACATGTGCTATTCATCTCTGAGGGTAGTATTCCTCTATCTATTCCTTTGTTGCCATCATTTCATTTCTCTGTTCAACATCCAGTTATTCAGATACCTTTCTTTGGGTCTCAGTTCTCTGTTCTAAGGTGTGTCCCATCAGTGCATCAATGGCTGTGCATCCTTGATCAATGTGATCAGGATTGCTGATCATATTTCGATCATATTCTTTTTATCTTTAGCATGCCCTCTTGTAATGGTATTGGCATGTTTAGGGCCAAGTGCTGGGACCTCACATGCAGTCTAACCCCTCTGATATTAGTCTGCTACTAGGCCATGCACTCTGCTCCTTGTTACTTCAGTTTAGCCTCATGATGGCTAGGTTTCTGCACACTCTTATTTTATTCTCAGTTACATGCTTACTGGACTGAAATGCAGTCCATGTATTTGCAATTTTTGCAATTTTACATGCCTGAACATGGAGAGGGCATGTCAATGCTTCTTGGTCTCATTGACAATCCTCAAATCGAAGCAGGTGATAATATCATCATCTACTTTTCAGGGCATGGTTCACACTACTTCTCAAATGCATCCTTATACTGCGATGCTGATTCTGAGGAGGACAAAGGGAGCCCTATTACAGTAGAGAGATCCATCAAGACCATTTGCCCCATTAACAGAGATACCTTCAATGCCAGAGGGTTATGAGTCCCTAACATCAGCAACTGAGAGATCAACACCATCTTCCAGCAGATCTCTTGAAGCAAGGGGCATTGAATTACTTTTATCCTCGACTGCTGTCTATCTGGTGGCAAAATTTGGCATTTCCCTGAGCCTGGTACATGTACTATTCCCCTGCTACCATGCATGTCTCTTCAACACATGCTCCACATGGCCGATGGCGGCCTTGGTTGGTATCCTACCTACAAATTGATTTTGGCAATGGATTGGTGCCCAGACATGTCTGAGTGAAGAGTCGACATATGTTGATCTTCTTTTTGCACTTCCACTGAGGCATGGTCAGACTCCTATTGTTGCTGAGAAGCATAAGTGTGAATGCCTCTGGTACAAGGACTAGGTAGGCAGACTGTAGCTCACTATATTCTTCTCATTCCAACTTTTAACTTATCCCATTCTTGAGCCTTAATGTCTGAGATATGTTAATGATCAATGATAGGATGCTATATCACCATAATATATAGATGCCATTCAGATCCATTTGCTACATTCAGCACATGGAGCAATAGAATGGAAAATGAGAACACACCCAAACAGAAGTCTCCAAATGTCATACCTTGCAACAAGACATAGCTTCGACCATTGGAGAATTCAGTGATGTACTGGAAATGCTTGTTCTGACCACCGACTTGATTGATATCCCAAATGCCTGTCGTGAATCCTGTGTGGTGTGAATTACTATATATATATTGGGCATCACTCAAGCAAACAACGAAAGGTATTTATTCTCATTTTCAACACTCCCAGCCTGTTCAACCATCGCACATGTCAGATCCTAATGTACTGTCTTCAGATTTCATTCACAAAGTCTGCGATGAATATCTTAATGGGACATTTGCTGAGTCCTTCACCTGTGGTAAGCTCTATGCATGATTGTGATGAATCGCTCCTCATCCATGGTCTGCAGGAATGTATATTTTCATTTTAATCATTGCCTTGACCAAATTTTGTGTCCATCCATCTATTCTTCTTAATTCTCCTGCTGTAAATGCCCTCAGATCGAAAGCGAGATTTCTTCTATTCCACTCCATACATAACAAGGCCTTCATTGCATATGTCCTCCCAGTGCACAGAGACCTCTGCATCTACTGGTGGTGTGACAAGGTTCAGACAGATGCAATGCTGCATGTATACCCACAGCATGCCTCCAAGACTGGACCATGACAATAAAAGAAGGTGACAAATACCGCTCTGCATCTATGAACTGAATAGTCAGTGGGTTGGTATTGATAATAAGCATCAAATCTTTAAAAGTGATCGGATGTTGATGAGCCTCTGGGCTCTGTATGCTTGGAATTCATGAATTCCACATGATTATAATATTACTGTCCACTAGATGGACTGTCAGCAAACCAAAGATTGCTGACATGGCAATACCACTTTCAAGTCACAGAAACCATTCCTCAAGTACTTCAATACTTCATCCTTCTTCTACATGCCAACAATTACTGTGTTCTATCACAGCAAGGCACAAAAGATCAACATCACCCTAACTAGGCATGAAGCTGCCACTTCCCTGATCAATTCATTATATGACATAGTTTCCACAGGATTTCCTTCAGTCTGCTAGCTCCCGATGCATGGAAACTAATAACTGCATTTACTAAGGCTGTTATAGTGCCAAGACTCACCACTCAAATTACACCCATGCACTTTCCTCAGTACTACAACTGCTCCTTGCAAATCCACAGCTAAACAGCACCTTTTGATCTGACCACCAGTTACTCAGACCATATGGTTTCTCTACAAGTGCAGCAATGCAAAGCAGTTGCTCTTACTCTTGGAATTGATGACACCATACGGTTTCTCTAGAAATTACTGAGATATCGCGTTACAGCCTTACAAAGTTTCATTTATGGTCTCTAATAATGTAGTATGGACTTCACTATAAAAAAGTAGTTAGAACATGTAGTTTAGAGGGACCAGAATATCGACAGAACATTGAGACACCACATATCTGGACTACTAGAATGACATCTCTTAAATACCCACGATACTACAGCTTACACTGAATATACGCTATATATTTGCATTTCCACATTATTATCGTGTCATGGCAATTCACCGATCGCCTTGTATATGCTTAGTATCACAGAAACTTGTCGACATCTTTGAAAATTTCACTGTTTCGACTGTGAAGGTTCACTTCTCACTCACTCTGTATTCTAAACACTATCAGAATATCGCCATACTATTCTGATATGTGAATAACCACCATACTTGGCACCATGTTTTCTTTTATAGGCAGCATCGTTTCACTTTTTCAGATTGGAGTTTTAACCACTTTTCACCTTCTCATATAATTTTTGTAGCCCACTTGGGTAGTCTCAGTGCAGACTTATAGGATCATCTTGACATTATAGGATAGGGTAACAAGTTTCAGTTAGGATCGACATTGGATAGTCTCCATGTGGACTCATAGGTTATTTTGATATAGGATAGGATTGACATGGGATATAACCTCACCATTGACTTTGACTTTGTCTATAGGATAGTACTTGCCAAAGTGTAGGATTTCTGCATTTTCTCTAGGATTGGCATTACCCCCATCAACTCACATTTTCTCTCGACACTCAATAGTTTTTGTCACTCTTGACCTTTTCTCACCCTCGTCTTGCACATGCTCTGCTTAGTTTCTGCATGTTGCATCATATATTTCCATCTCGTGCTTAGGATTATCACTCAGAAGGTGATTACAGTTTCTCTTCGACCCATCTTACAGATTTGTGGTATCCACATCATATCTGTTTCCGCTCCCACTGTTAGGAATGTACCAATCGAGTGGGCTTGAGTGCACTTGCGGAGTCCAGCAGAGTGTGTGGGCATCGACGAGGCTATTGGCAACATCACCCTTGAGTTGGGGCCCAAGGATCTGGATGGACAGGATGGAGATTTGTCAGAGAAGTGAACCGGAATGTCCTTCGGAGCGAAATCCGACGGACGAGGTAGTAAGGAGTTGAAGTGAGTGCGAAGTGTGGGCTTATCCAAGTTGATATTCGAACTGAGTAGCTACGATGATGTACATGGCTTTATATACTAATGGTAGCTAATTCTGAGTCGGGTTCCATTGGGTTCTGGTGTCAGTATTTGTTACCGAGTTCGGGGTCTAGATATTACAATGTGAAATACGGATGTGAAATGATACTGGTGAAATGAAATTAGTAGGTAATGGGAAGCAGTCAGAGTCCGGTGGGTAGTGTGATTGGATTCGTGGTTGGTTGAGGTGACATGGAGGCCGGTGGCATGCGCGTAACACCCACTTATTCTATGGGAACCCTACTGGCTTAGAGCCAGCTCGTTTATTTCTCGACTACCAAGGAATATTACTTTGCTGACGTTAAGCCGCAGTGTATACTCATGTAAAGAAGGATTGATTCATGCATGGAAGTGCCCCTGAACTCCATTCACACAATTGCAGTCTATACTACCGTGACTTCACATTTACTCCCAATACTCATTCAGTTTGGTGTTGCTGTTGCTATGGAAGTCTAGACTCATCAACGTGTCGCAGGTCGGGGTATCGATTTGGATGGTCGGAGTGCCCCAAGAGCTTGTAGTTGGCAGGCCATAGTTGAAGTCTATGAGAAACATATGAGCTAGCCTTTTATGAGGAAGAAAACTTGGCATATCGACTGGATATGCGATCCCAACCTCTGCAGCAATGTCTGCCTTGAGTGATGAGGATGGACTATACAAGGTTGAGTTTTCTGACACAGTACCAGTTTTGTACAATAACAATAGCTTAATAGTCTGCATGAATGTCAGAGTCATAGTTCAATAGCAGAAGTGAATAGCAAGCAGCGAGGACCGTGGCTTGAAACACCAGCTCAGGGAGAGACTCCTTTCCTAGGAAGAAGTCGGAATTGCCAGCAAGAGCCTCTCGAAAGACACAAAAATGATATGTACACATATGACAGTTCCAGCCAAATTACAACCCTAACCATAATAAAGGTAAGGTTAGGTTTATATTCAATGTCTCAAGGCAGATCATACCTTATATAAAACAGTCCCATTCTTCCCCAGGCCCTCACACCTCTCTCTCAAACCACCACTATCGATGAATCTCACCATTCTACGCCCCCTCTTCTACATCCACACCCACTCAACCAGAGCCTCTCTTTTCATCTGTAAGCCTTTCTTCTTGCATTACCTCCATGAAGGAGTATTCACTGCAAGATGAAGAACGATGCATGTCCAATGAGGAGACGTGGCAGCGATGACAACGCAGCAGGGTATGGAGTCACCAGAACCATATTCGCTACCAACAACAGCATTCTATACCCCATCAAGGGTGTCTCACATTATTTCTGTCTATAGCAATGTGCAGCTGACCACACTAGTCCATGTTCACCACCATTATGTATCTAGACCTGATGCACCATATTCACAATCTGTATGCGAATATATCACGCTGCCCTCACCATCTATCCTCAGTAAATGGTGCCATTGTCACATCCTGCTGCCATCTCATATAGAAAGCGATATCCTGACAGTGGTGCATCCACTGTTGCGTTTGAGCCGAGGGAAGATGATGCTGAAGCTCGACTTTGCTCACAGCCTGACGAGTGTAGGCATTCTTAGTTATGAGGTCTGCATCAATGAGACAGCGACCAGCCTGCCTCTTCTGTCCTGGCCATCATCCACCAAAAGCTTCCATGGCCCATAGTCATACAGACATCGGGCGATCGAGAATGGGTCACAGTCACCGATGTTGTCGAGACACTATGGTATGCTCTGCACATAGGCGACATCCTGCAGATGTCAACATCATCACTGTTCCTCGAAAGTCAAGATGATGCACCTTTTGACAGTTGTCGAAGTATGTGAGGCTGCGACCAATGAGAAGTGGTCCTGCGGCCCAGACTGGTGTACTTGAGGGGAAAGACATGATTTATGAGACTCTGCACTATAGGAGGCGATACCTTGGAACTACTTGTTGCATAGGGTGTGTAGGTTGTGTCTATGCTACTGTCGGAATATATTTTTTGGAGCAAGAGCTGGAGACTCATATGTATGTACTATCAAAGTTGTATCAGTTATATGTGACAGACAAAGACAATGGACTCTTCTAGAAGAGCTTACATCTCTTTGGCCTAGTCTGAGTGCCAGTGCGAAAAGGGCGACCACCATCGATGTTGAGATATCGGTTACGATGACCCTTAACCCTAGGGAAAAAGTAGGGTTAGGGCTATATGCCCAGTGACTCCCCAAGTTGTTTGGTATCTCCCACCATGTTACTCTCGCCACGAGCTCCATTATGCAGACCAAAGGGCTCTGCACATCACACATGCAACATCAGTCTTCTTTCCCAACACCCTATGTCACCACTGCATAAACTGCTCTGCCATTGCACATCAATGCTATTCTCGAGTGTGAACATGATGTCAGCATAATCTGTGGTGAAATGAGGGCCACATAAATTGGGTATCGCAGATTGTCTCATTAGAACCAACAAATACTGTGGTGAGGCACTGAAGTTCCAAAAGCTGAGGGCTAGGATGCGGCGCTGGGAATTGGCATGGGATGGACATGAAGGGCAACTTCAAACTGACATGACCGCATATGGTGATGAAAAGAAAGCACTGCTGAGTGGTGAGATAGAGCTAGTGCTTGCTAAAGAGGCACAGATGGGTGACATCGTTCCAGTGAATGATATGATAGAGAGCATGAATAAATTGTCTATTGAAGAGGGAAGCCAGTTGTCAGGAAAGCGTAGTACTACTATGGATGAGTGCCAACTTCACCACAGCATTCATAATTATGTACCCGCTGGTCTTTTCGCCTAACGTTCCCTTCCAGTATTGGATTAACTCCTTCGTTATTGAATTACATTGAAAATATCACTGCTTGGTGCTTCATTCTGCACTAGAATATCTGTCAGAGAGAGAGATAAGTTCACAGAAAATGTACTGACCTTGTGGAAAGATTATTTAAGTGGTGAAGGGAGCCTCAGGTGGTGGAAAAAGCATGTAGCCAATTATAAGGAATGACCATTGAAACATAGATCCACCATGGCATGCTCAAGAGAAGAACAGGTGTGAGATGGCTCTTTGAAAGATCCTTCTCACTGTATATGGAGAGGGTGATATCATGTATCATGGACCATAGAAGATACATCTGAAGAAGATTCTGGCATGCCTGCTCATTCTTGTATACATTGAAATCCAGCATAATGAATGGCCAAAGCCAGGATGTCAACAGTGCAATCCTCCTCCAATCCCTGCAGACATGGGAAAGAACCAACAGCACAAACTGCCCATTCAATGACTCCCTCCCTTCCCTTTCAATTGCCTCAAAGTGGTGTGTCAAGAAGATTTTGTGTATGATGTCCTCTGGGATCATAAGAATGGGGTGAAGGATTGTCTTGCAGGACTCAATCAGGTGATTGACATGCCTCTCCTCATTCAAAAGTGCCTCAAGCACAGCCCATGTCTGGGTTATCCATTCCTGTGGTCCAGCTAAAACCCAATGGCCTTCACCTATAACACCCTCCAGCTGAATATGCTTGGCATCAAGGGGAGGATTGTTCGACTCGAGCAATTCATCCATTCAAAACACTGCCAGCTCGATGGAAGGAAATTTGATGGAAGATGCTTCTGAATTATTCCCACATTGTGGGGAGTGGGGTGAGCCTGCCATCTAGAACGTTGATAAGACAACATCATTAATACAAGCTCAGAATGTCTTACCTTTCAGTAGTTTCTCAATATGACCTTGGTCAAAATGGATGGTTCAGAAAATGATGGCAGATCATTGGGGGCACATCATGCAACTTCCAAACTTAAGGGCTGGCTGTCCAAAAGCAGCAGTCATGGGTACTGCAAATACTGTCAGCAACACAGCAGAGGGGAGTCATAGCATGGTAACCTTTTAACAGAACAAATCAATGTGATGGACATCCTAGCAAGAGTCATCATAACCCCTATTTTCTGCTTCAGGGTCATCATCCAGATGTTTTGTGCACCATCCATAAAAAATACTTCATGAGCAACCTACAACACTAGTACTGTGCAGAAATGAGGAGGGCAAGACACCAAGGATAGACCTGACATGTGTCATATTCATGGAATACAACATCATTTAGACAGCTTCAGTGGTATAAATCTGATGAACCTTCAAGAAATGAAGTATTATCGTTCAACAATGCCACAAGGAGAGTGAACTATCAATGTCCCATGAAGTATATATGAAACAAGTTCCCAGGTATGTCAACGATCAATTCTCTCAACAAGAGAAGGGGAATGAATCATCAACTATTTATTATTTCATAAAGATGTAGATGCTATTCGAAACCTATTTGACCGCTTAGCACCAAAGCCAACAGAAGAGGAAGATAGTCTCTCACCCAAGCAGCAGAGTCACCAAATGCCGAACCCTGCGACAAGACATAGCTTCGAGCATCAGAGAATCCAGTGACATCCTGGCAACATTGTTCTTCACCACTGGCTTAATTGACATCCCAACCACCTGTCGTCAAGAGTCCTTTGCATTGTGTGAATTAGTATATCGGATGCCCCTGAAGCAAACAAGCTCACCGGCTAGGTTGGTATTAATGATAAGCATCAAATCCTTAAAGTGATCGGACGTATTGCACGTCGAAGAATCAATTTGAAAAGTCGGAGTGCCCCAAGACCTCGGGGTCGGCAAGCCGTAGTTGACGTCTACGAGGAAGGAATAAGCCAACCTGATGACAACCAGGAAGGAAAAAAAATGACATACCCACTGGCCCGTGGTCGGTGTTCCACTACCACATCTTGATACTGTCTGTAGTGAGCTCGAGCACACACGTAGCCCCATTAACATCGTTCGCCACCTGGCCGAAGCTAGTCTTGCCGTTTACCGAGACACCACAGGACTGGTGGTTGACATTCGCATCGCAGTTCGTGCCGCCCTCGGAGGCGGCGACATTCAGGTTCGCGCCGTTGACATTGTCTCGTCCATCCAGCAGCCGGCACCGCTGTGCACGGACGTGGTGTTTTGGGTATACGAGTTCACTCCCTCGACCAAGTCGATCTCGCCTAGAGTACAACACGTTCTTAAACACAAGCAAGCGAAAAAACGGGGGGCAACCGCTTACCAGTTTCAGACCATGTGCCGCTGCCGGTGAACTATCAATTGGAAATGATGAGTATCTAGCCCCACGCAGAATAAATGAACGAAGGCATACCCAAATGGCCAGCCAGACACCACACATACTGGGCATCTGGTGTCGACGATGAACAGCAAGTTCTGCGACGGATTGAACGTCTCGTTCGACGACATCCGAATGGCGTTTCGCAGAGCGACATCCTCCGCCTGGTCGGCGCCAATCCGGACCTTCCCATCAGACTGGATGTACACCAGCTCGCTGCTCTTCCCATCAACATAGTTGGTGCATCCCTGGTTGTCGGAGGCCTGTTCGTCGCTAAGAACGCACGTTAGGAAGGATCAGGAGCACGAGGAAGGTAGGTCCACACAAGTTGAAAAAATCGATGAGGCCATCTCCCATCAGTGACTCGTACATCGTCCATCTGTCGCTCGACGTTTGGTCCCGTCTGTGGTTGTGTCGATGGCCAAAGCTGTGGGACGATCCGGTCAGTGCTGCATATGCGGCACCGCCCAGCGAGATGGCAGCGAATGCAGAAATAACGCGCATTGCGGAGTTAATGAGTGTAGTGAAAATGAGCGTAAGATAAAGGCAGTGGGATATGGTGAGTACAAAGATGGTCGCTCCCTGTCGCGGGGATCCACTGTAATCAAACACCCTAGTTGACAAGTGGCCTATCAAAAAACACTCCACGATCAGCTAATGCATTGAAATTTAAATCCTAATTATAACCTACCATTTTAGTCAAGCATCGAGGCCGGTTTGTTTCGGGGAGAAGGTTCATTTCGCCTGGACGACCGAGATGAGATAACAGCGGAAAGGTCGAGCAATTTGAAAAGAGCACGGCATAATCCTGGAACCAAAGTTCATGAGTTGGCCAAGCGTTACCACGCATGAAGAATGTCCTCTGGGGCAACGTCGTCTCACTGGACCCATAAAGATTGTGTTCTAGTGAGCGTCGATGCGCAGTTAAAGATTTTGATATTATGTCATAGTGGGTCCTTGGGTACTGACCCACACACCACTAGCTGAAGGCGTATTTAGCGCATGCGAACGAGGAATGAATGAGTGTCGGGTATCTGCGACGAACCATTATTTAGATTCCATGTGCGGAGAAGTGCTAGTGGCTTACTGAGAAGGGGAATCGTTTGTAGGAATGTGTCAAGGACCTCTGCAACATCGTAAATCTGGCGTGGTATGTGGTGCGAAGATGATCCTTGGGCCTGATTATCTGTATGCATATTCTCAGCGATTCAATGCAAGAAACATAGTCTATTGTACATACCGATGCCGGGGCTGATTGCTCATTCTTGCACCAACTTGAACGAATGAAAGATAAATATAAATATGCGCCATTCACCGACCAGAAAGGAGACTTATGCTGGAAATCAATCGCTCAAACTGCCCACTTCTAAAGCCGCGCATAGAGCGGAGAATGATGCACCAACTCCAAGCTATAGAAATGATAATAAAACTTTCTGTGCACTTCACTTCGGTTTCCTAAAGGATGATAAGATTTCATGCATCCATGGAGGGATGCTGATAATTCAAGATTCGTGATGGTGAGGAGGAAGGTTCAACGAGCTCCACGTGGCTCCGAATTATGACAGCTTTTTTTGGCTGTTCTACCAGACTTCCTTCCAACCGAGAAGTTTTCAATACCAGAATCGAGATTATCTTATCATGACAAGGATTGCCAGGACACAACATAAAATTCTCAGATTGGAAGGATTTGAAAGATGATACAAGATCCGCCTTTGTGGCCCAACTCCGCGATTATGTCCTGCAGCTGCGAAATATCCCACCTCCTATCGGATCCTCGATCTTGTTCTATGTGCGACTCTGCACCGACGGCCCTTATGGTCGATATGTCGACGAGGACTCCACTCGGGCGTTCTTCTGCAATGTAGTTGCCCTGAAGTCGTAGAATCGCATCGAAGGCGTCATCACGCAGGGCGATATCGCACTGAGGAATATCATGATCGACGGGAATAATCGATTGGGAGCACGTGAAGGCGCTTTTTGGTGCTATTATTTTTGAGCCTTGGGAGAGGAACGTCCCCAAGATTATCCCCCCGTTTGAGTTTGAAGCATCGGTCGACCAAGGATTTAGCTGTGGTATTCCAAAGTGTAAAGCACTGAATATTGAAACACAGGTTAGCATTACTTTATACTAGCTAATCGATTGCTGACGACTATTTACATAGGGTACAGTATCAGTGGCAAGCGCCGAGACATTCTGACAATCAGAGTTTACACCGTGAGGAGACTTATCTTTCTCGTATCAGATATCTCTCTTTAGCTATCTTAATAGGCGATCACCTGAAATCGGACAATAAGATTCGCGATGAGTATGGCCCTTTGACCTTGCATTAGCATTTTCAGCTCCTCCATTCTTGCTGCTCATTGCTGTCAGATGTGTTGTAGGTTTCCCGGGCAGGTCTGGATAGAACGGCTTACAGATAAACTACAGATGACCGTTCATTTAGGTGTTGCCCTATACTGCATCCGGGACGACGCATCCATACTTTCATTGGGTCCTCGTGACCACTGAAGCCATCTCCACTCTCCTTGACCCATACATTCGAGATCATTCGTAACGTCGATGTCTGTCAACGGTCTGCCAGGGCGTTGGGAAACGAGATTCAAAGCGGCCAATTTGGGGAACTCGACAGCTTTTTACTGGTATCGCAGAGTTCGGATGGGCTCCATCAGGGAGGTGATCGAGAGCCATCCGGAAACGGACGATAGTTGGAGAATACAGAGACCGACTGGATGGTCATGCGCCACTTGGGTTTTTTTGCGTGTCATGATCACCTGGGAGGAGATGGCGATATTTGATATTCCCGACGGCCTCACACCAGAGATGCTGTACGATAGCATTCTAGGAGAAGGGTATAGATTCATGATGGGGAATATATCCAGCAATCCCTTAGCTGTCGTCCAGTTGGTACTCGCTGGCAGATATGTGAAGTCCCATGATTCGCGTGGAATTGCCGTGGCTGAAGCTGGGAATGCAATCTTAGACTGCTAGTGAATTGCTAGAGGGTACTTACCTCTCAGTCGAGAGACCTTGGCTGCTCTTCCTGATATTCTTAAATGACATGGTGGTTTTGTCTGCCGCGACCAGGCGGGCTGTGGTCGAATGGCTGTGCTGATGAATGTATCGCCGTTTCTTGAGAGCAGCGGAGCAAAGCTTTTCTCATTGAGGCGTTTCCACTCCTGAGAGTACCCATCTCCGATTGTGGGTCCCAGAACCGGCCCCGTATTCGATCACGCTTTGCTAAGTCCACGATATCGTCAGAGGTGGACCGTTCTCGGCTGTTCCTCAGTTCATACCGAGTTATGAGGGTTGCCAGAAGCGAGTTTGAGTACATTGAAATAAGAGCGTGAGTAGTAGCGTGGCGAGTCTATCCATTATTAATACACACGTTTGGATATGATGAAGTGTAGACCTAGAAAGACGAGGTTGTTGTTCATTGTGAGCCACTGAAATTTTGATCAGGGTTAATATGAGAGACTCGGATGACATGGGACTCTTTTTGCTTACGCAGATCATCGAAGCGATGGTGGCAATGCTGGTAGCAGTGAACTGAAAGAGTGAGTCTATTACATGATAAAGCTAGCACTGGACGTCAAATTAAAACTTGGGGCTGGATCGGAAATAGCGTTGTACCTCAACGAAGCTTTGCGGCTCTTGTGAAGTAATTTTCACAGTGAGCCAGTAACGAGGATATCCACAGCGGAGGACAGTCCGAGTCCAGCTGGGAATACCCACTAGGTGTGCAATTAATCGGTGAGAGGGAGGAGATGGAAGAGATTCGTCGTACGTTAAAGTTATTCCTGAATCCAGAATATGTTTGAATGGACAGCCTGCGAAGTGCATACGGTTCGTCTTACTGAGGGGCGAAAAAGTGATATCAAACGTGCATGGCTCCAGCAGTAACCGAGGTAAACGTTTGAATCGTAAGTACCAAGGAAACTCTATGGATGCGTACCACAAGCACAAGCTGTAGGAATAAGGATGAGATCGGCGCAGAAGAAATATTTGCAGTAGATGTACTTAGACGGAGGAAAGCGAAGATGACCTAGCAGATAAAAAACAATCAGGATTTCGTGTTTGCAAAAAGATTGGTGGTCTATAATCACAATCGATGCGGCAGGTATCCGATTGTTCTTGCTTACTGTACGGTTCAGATGAGCGTTTGCGGACTAAGAGTTGAAGGGAAGGCTCACACCGAAAGATCCGTTCAGCGAAAAAACTATATGGATGTCAGAAGAATCGAGGCTGGAACTGTAATGGACGCGACGTACAGATGGACGCGAATCATAGAAACGGCCTTTGGTCGATAAAATCAAAATGATCACCATATGAATCAATTTGCGAGGTACTGTCAAGATAATGGTAATGTTTGACGGCACTATGAGCGGTCGATACCGAGTTTCGTAGATGAGAAGCCTACCGGTATCGCTCTAGGGGCAACATCAGACGGGGCGATAACTGTAGAGAACAGGAACATACTGAGGGATTGGTCTATCCTAGCTGTGTCATTAAAGTGAACAATCAAATAGTTCCAAAGGCCGGCCCAGACAGTTCCGCTGTGGGCAACGTCGAAAAGCCTTACGCCGCCGTATAAGCCGACATCTGGATTTCCGAATGGAGAAAACTGACCAGAGGACGGTAACCTGCGATAGTAGCATCAGAGATGCATTGAATTTGATCAGAACAAGGATTCTCTCACCAGACCTTTGATTCGGGGCTTGTCCGTTGGGAAGAGCTTGAAGTACAGAAGAGATTGGACGGACATCATGCCGGTGAAACTTTTTAAAAAGCGCTCAGCTGTCGATAATGCATCGAAGACGAAGACACATACATCGCAGAGAACAGACCACTGAGAAGGAGAGAGGCTAGCGTAGACGAGATATTAACCATGACGAGTGGAAGGAAGGCAAGAGCGCTCTGCAACAGCTTATTTGATCCCACTCCTTTATAATCCAGGCCTCCGGTAATAGGATGGTGGCGCTGATAGTAGTATTTGACAACTGATCGACCATCACAGGCATAACCACCATTGCAAACTATGGGCCATGAAATCCACAGGTGGGAATCCGATTTTCCGAGCACCCTGCTCCTTCTCTGATGGTGAAATGATAAATAATGCCTAGGGAATGAGATACCTTTACAAAAGTACAAACTCAATGGCACATGTTTCCTGTCCCATGTTTGCATCCCCTGACCTTTTGTGGGCCTCTTCCAAGGGCCATTGAGCAGTTCAAGTTTCAACTTTGATCAGAGGCTAGAGTCCCCACTGCAACAGTGACACCCTCTCCATGTTCAGGCATGTAAAATTGCAAAAATTGCAAATACATGGACTGCATTTCAGTCCAGTAAGCATGTAACTGAGAATAAAATAAGAGTGTGCAGAAACCTAGCCATCATGAGGCTAAACTGAAGTAACAAGGAGCAGAGTGCATGGCCTAGTAGCAGACTAATATCAGAGGGGTTAGACTGCATGTGAGGTCCCAGCACTTGGCCCTAAACATGCCAATACCATTACAAGAGGGCATGCTAAAGATAAAAAGAATATGATCGAAATATGATCAGCAATCCTGATCACATTGATCAAGGATGCACAGCCATTGATGCACTGATGGGACACACCTTAGAACAGAGAACTGAGACCCAAAGAAAGGTATCTGAATAACTGGATGTTGAACAGAGAAATGAAATGATGGCAACAAAGGAATAGATAGAGGAATACTACCCTCAGAGATGAATAGCACATGTATGGCTCAGAGACTCACATGCATACTTACAGTGCCTTAGCACACTTGACACAGAGAGGGACTCTGCATCATACTGAGGTATGACACATACCATATTGGGTGAGTTAATTGGTGCATGTCAGGCCAGAAACAGTGCATTTTGTGAGCTGGAGGGAATGTCAAGACACTGGAAAAGAGAACATAACCATTGTGGCTGACTCCAGACATGGGAGATAACTCTGGGGGTCTGGAACAGTTTACTGCTGTCAGGGATGTGTCACCAGGGAAATAAGAAAGTGAGCAGATCTGGCTAGGCCAGCTAGCCAAGGCCAGCTAGTGAGGAAACATTGCACAGTCCTGGCCTGGAAGAGAATAAGCATGGCAACTGTGATATGCATGTGAATAATACCTGTGGGATCTGGCATGGAGTCCCACACTTTGAAGATACCATAGTAGAGTATTTAAATACTGCATTGTATGAATAGAATACAAGTTTCTGACCCCCACAGTTGCAGTGTATTGGGCACAGAAATTGCACCCTAGCTCTGGGTTTGTGTTTGTAACTTCAGATGAGAGAATAAACTGATTATTGGATATCATTGAGAGAGCTGTGAGAACTAAGTGAGGCATCAAAGCTCATGAAGGACTTGAGCCCAATTTGATAAGAGGTTTTGGATTGTGCTCTAATCTGAGAATAAGAGAGTGGTGTCTGAAGGGCATCATCTTGAGTTTTTGAGGTATTTGTGATGTGCAGCACTACAGGTGGCAGAGGTTCAAACCCTTTGGTCTGTCAGATGGTGTTTATTATGTTTTGTGTCTCTAGATCACATAGGTTTGAATCCTGTGGGTCTATGATTGGTTTGGAAACTTGTGAACAGAGATCTGTGCTCTTTGGCACTTGTGGATGTGTTTGTGATTGGTTTTTGCATAGAGCACAAAGCTTTGAGTCATGTATTGTGTGTGTTAGGGATTTTGAGGTGATCTGAGCTGTGCTTAGGATATTTTGAGGGTTTTGTGGGAGTGTTTTGACATATTGTATTGAGCTGCAGTACCTATTGCCTTGAGGCCTGGCAACACCTGTTGCCACCTCTTGTTCTGATAAAACGAAAAGCTTTGAGACTTAGAGAGATCTAGGACTGTTGTACATGTGCTATTACTGTTTGCATGCTGTGGATTCATTGAAGAAGACAATTATATTTGTTGATTACTACTGTTATCATATTATAATCCCCCCATGAACTAAGAGTTTTGTGTGTGTGTTGGTGTGAGTGTGGTCAGTGGATAGTGCTCTGCTGTATCTGCTTTCACCTTGTGTGCACTCAGATCCTCTTCAGCATGTTGACAATATTGACACAGGATGGAAAGGAGAGGTCTTTGGACAAGCTATGTTCAGAACCAAGGAGTAGCTGTATTCGTTCTTGTAGCATGCCTAAGTCCTCTTTCAGGTATTTCTCCATTGAAGTGGCATCTGGTACACAGCCTTGCAATGGAAACGAATCATATGCATCGATGCCTATTATCACTGCCCAGAATCTCGAGCACTGCACTTCAAGAGGTGGCTTCCAACGAGCGATTAGCAGGCATATTCCTGTGGCAAAGAATTGCCTACCTCGATGGTCGAGGGGCTGTCCTGCTTCTCAAGGAAGGATTCGTATTGAAATCTGGGCCTAATGCGATGGAGTTGTTGGAGACATTGATATGCTTCAGTGGCAGAGCTGCCTTTCTTGCATATCACTCTAGCTCTTGCCTCTTGGAAAACCATGACCAAATCAATGTCTGGTGTTCTTCCAATGGCCATCCTATAATGTATCACCAGCTGCTTCTCATACTGCGCGAGCAAGCTAATTATATTTGAAGGTAATTCCTGCACTGGAATTTCAGTGTTTTCTTGGTCGACATGGCAAAGGTGAATACTCACATAATTGTTTTCTGAGGAAACCTTTATAGGCGGATTGGCATGTTCTCTCGGTCATCCAAGATTCTGTGTCATCTTACTTTGAAGAGAACAAGAGCACCTACAAATTGGGGGAGGTAGACACTTAATTAGTGGCTCTTCCCTGGGTGCTGGGAGGTAAACACATGGCTCCATCAGTAGGTGCTTATCACAGCTCAAAGCAGGGATGAGGCTGTCACATAATAGCTGTTGTGATGCTGCCACTGTTTCCACTGATCATTATGGCTTGAGCAGAATTTGATCATGTTGTGACTTGCAACTTTCGAGCATCTTTCCTGTGATAAATCTCCCCTAAGAATCGAGTTCAAAAGGACTGGGAGCTTGAAGGTATGGTAAATGAACAGACTAGGAGTCTGGTAACTTCAGGACCAGGAACTTGCCAGCAACAGTGGATGAGATGATTGGCACCATAGATGCCATGGGGTACAAGTGCCATACTACAATCGGTCAAGGACCTAAAATTACTTCTAAGGTTTGATGTGGATTCATGCTTTCTCCGGAAGTGAGGATGCAGTGAGTGGCGATTGTGTATCAATTAAACCACCTAGCTGCTCATCATGAAATGTTCCCTGTGCCAATAAATTCTTCCGGAGTTTGTAGAAATGACTAATGCCTTCGAATTGTCGGCAGGATCTAGTAGTCCAAGAATGCTTGTTCCATGGTAGTTACATTGCACTGCCGGGTTATGGCTAATAAGATCACTTCTTTTGGTAAAGAACTCTGAATGGAGATGGTTTTCATTGTAAGCACAGTATATCCACCTTTCTTGGGTTTGATGTCCTTCATCCCACGGTGTCGATGGTTGACCTTTCTGTGGCTGGCGCCTAGCAAGGTATCCATGATAAATATTAATGGATGATGTAAAATCTCACAGCACTGGTTTATGGAAATGACTGGTAATAATCATAGATGACTGGTCCACATTAAGTAGAAATAGGAACCATTAAATAGAATAACTGGTAACACCTTAGAAAATTCCCATCAGCGCTTTGCTTCCTGAAATCCATCTTGTAACACGGCTATTAGGTTCTATCGTATGCACACAGTCCACGACGAGCCACTATGGCATTCGAAAATTGACACCAAACCAAGTTTCTCTTTGGAGACATGGCATCATTCAAGGCCCGCTAACTCGGATGTACATGATGCCCCATTGGTATGGAAAGTTGGTGGTACTTCCAGGGATTTTACTGAGATGAATTCCATAGGCACTATTTGATTTTTGCTTCTCGCTTTCCTTAATCGAAATGTAAATTTCTTTAGAATTCAGAGCAATCTTCTTTGGACCGTAATTTTGACGGTGATTCGGATGCTGTTGCCATGGTATACTTATTTTGTGGATTTTCGGAAGTTGATGTGCTAACTGTTGATGTCAGGATGATTTCGATTTCCCGGAAGATAGACTTCAAGTTGAGAGCTTGGAGGATGAACTCAAGGGTCTAGCAGAGCACGAGAAGCAGCTATCTGTGCAGTACGGGATGGCAGAATCCGATACCGAATCTCGCCGCATCGACTCAGTAGCTGTCTTCGAAGAGACAAAGCACAGGGTGCTGAGCGATGATGAATCTGCCTATCCATTGTTTGAAAAACTCCATAGGCTCCGTCACCTGCACACACAGTTGTATGAGTTAGGCAAAGGACTTGGGTCTATCAAACTCAAGCCATTTCCTAGAATTACATTAACAGGAGTATATTTAATGTTTTATCATTCACCTTCTTATTAACTATCAGTAAAATAGAGACCACATGGAATCGGCGCCTCGCGGTTCTGGGCTGTCATCATTGGAATTGACGGGTACAAGAGGTATCCACTGGGCAGCTGTGTGGCAGATGCATTATTGATGAAGACATACTTGGAGAAAGATCTCAAGGTTCCTATAAACCACATACAACTTCTCCTTGGCAGGAAACATATGCCCTCAAACGATCCTTCCATTCCGTCACACGACAATATCATGAACATGCTTTGCAGTCTCATCAGCAACCCCAACATCAAGAAAGGAGACAACATCGTCATATTTTTTGCCGGTGATGGCTCAAGCTACACTTCCTCGGAATATCCGAGAGATGTCGAGGAAAGGAAGTCAAGCATTCCAGATGTACGCATCTCGACACCGAGCTACAGCGCAAAAAACAAAGGCAACAAACGTATCAATGCTTTCTGCCCTACCGAGGCTCTCTGCCCCATCAACCGCGACATCGTCGATGTCAGTGGACACAAAATTCCCGACATCAGCGATCAAGAGATTAATACAATTCTCTATGAAATTTCGCAGGCTAAAGGGAATCAAATCACCATCATCCTCGACTGTTGCCACTCTGCTAGTATCACTAGAGACCCAAAATCTAGAGTGCGCAGCGCTCTTCCCCTGACCGATGTGTGTGACATTATATTTCTTGTTGGGATGCAGAACCTGAAGCGCATATCCAACCGTACTTCAATAATGGAGCAGAGATGGCATCCAGACATGTCTTCTCATGTGGTTGTGGCGGCGTGTAATGACTACGAGTTCGCGGGGGAGCACGAGGCGGAGGGAGAGTTTCATGGGTTTTTTACCCATTCGCTCGTTAAAATTGTCAGATCAGGGTTCTGGACGAAGGAGATGACGTATGTCGATCTTGTCCGGGGTCTACAATCAACGTGCACGCAGACACCAGTTGTTTCTGGTGATTATATACACTCGCACCTTTGGTACCAGATGATGTGAATGAATCATCTCTTTGTAACTAAGGTTACTGGGTCAGTTGATGGATAATGTATAACAATAGATATAGTCACCCTAATATTGGAATTTGTATGATCGTAGATTGGTGTAATATTAGAGATGTCGTGAGACTCTAAGAAGCAATGAGCAAAGGAAGAAAAAAAAGAAAAATCTTGGGACATTGACGCATGGGCATGTTCGGCACTCGACCGATACACTCACAGTTATATTGTTGAAATAGTGAAGTACGAGGTGCATATCACCTGCACTGAAGCTGAAATTGTAGCCTGGATTAATATGCTGACATCAGTTAGGTCAATATTTGCGTTGATTGACACGCCGGAGACCGATGGCATCATTTCGCGTTTTTCGTGGCTATATAGTGGTGTCACCCACCCCACCAACAAATTCTGGCCGGCTCAAATAAATAAGCACAGACTAAGTTACGAGTTCCAAGGCGACGTTGGAATGCTAGGATACGGTTGACTGGTGGAATTAGCGAGTAATAACATGGGACCTCCCTCCTTACTGTCACATGTGCAGCCTCGCATAGATTGTATTGCATTTTGCTACCCTGCGTGAAGCACGGTTAACCTCATGTGAAGGAGTGGAAAGAAGGGAAAGTCCCTACCTAGTAAAAAAGCGTGTCCAAAAAAACAGAGCTCAAAAATCAACGAACCCCCCCAGATGAGCACGCGTCGAGTCACGAGATTACGACGTGCGCAGCGGGATTCTGGCTATGCGAGGTGACGAGCATGGTTATCTCGACCTCAGAATATAGGTTGGACGCGCCTGAATAAATACGAAGGACAAGGACAGTCAAAGAATTTGTGCATTCGGTTGTTGCCGTAAATGCCGGCAGAATATTTCAAAGTCCGAATACAGATCGGCCTGGCCGCATCCATGAATCTTCACCATCACCATCACTGGCTGCCTACGACTTCGCTCTGCAGAGTACGACAGATAGTCAGCACTAGTGAGCGCCCAGTGAGCCGATCCTAGTAATTCTGTAGGAGAACTTTTCACTCAAAGCCCCTATGCAGGAACCATACAGCTCTCTATCAGCAACAGCAAGCAAAGCCAAGACGAAGAAACATGAAGAATTGGCCGTCTTTCACATACAATACATTACTTTGACTCGGCGCTGAATGAATGATCGAAGGGATATCGAAGGAAACCGGTGCCCAGTGAGCAAATTGACATTCACGTTTCTATGTGTTTACAAGCTGACTATTCGTGATACAGCTCAAAGTCACCTGGTGCTGAGAATATTTTCGTCATTTGCGACTTGGCGTGAGTAAGGAATTGCACATATATCCACTAAGGCTGGAGAATACCATAAGACCAGAACAATTACGGGCTCCTGGCCAATTGAGGTCGGTACATTTTCCATGCAGTTCCGTCTCTCTCTGACAGATACTCTAGTGCGAGACAAAGGCTGAGGCGCAATTTCGATAGTGAAGGAGTTAACCCAATGGTGGAAGGGAACGATAGGTGAAAATACCAGGCAGGTATGTAACTTTCAAGGCTGTGGTGAAGTCAGTGCTCATCTGTCTGTCCGCTTCGGTAGTGTCCTACCCTGTCCTACGCTTTTCCCGATACCTGGTTTCCTTTTTCTGCCGACAGATGTTTCATTCTTCCCGCCATCAACGTCGCACCTTTCACCAGAACGATGCTATCTGGCTGCGCCTTTTCAGTAGCCTGGGAGATCATCGCGAGAAAAGGAATGCCCTGAGGAGTGTTGTAGTCATGTCGAAGTAGAAGAAAGTGAGTAGTCGGGGTTGTTAGAAGTACCCAAGAACTAATGATATGCTTTTGTAGCCTGCTCAGGTCACTTCAGGATGCGCTCTAAGATGCTCGTTTTTATGATTTATATCATTCCACCTCTGGGCGCCTATGATATGGATTCGATTCAGATGCTTGTTGCCTTCGGCGCGCGTTCTCTACATTTCCGCGGTCCCAGTCTCGACGATCCGTGTATAGGGAGAGGCACCGGCCATGTATGCGCAAGCGGCGAAGAATCGGATCTTTTCCCATTTAATGACCCGACTCTTCCCCTCTGCCTCGAACCAAAACACTCACTTGGGCTAGCCTTCCGATTTTCAGCAGCGACATTGCTGTGATGACGACTTCAGTCAGCAAGGTCGCTACCGTCAAACACGCTAACGACAGTTTTTTGTTCGTGTCTGTTGCCCCCATTGTCTGCGAAGGCTGAGGAAAATCCTGCATTACCTGTTGATATGATCAAGTCTTCTGCCGCAAGAAGCCAAGTGACAGACATCTGTGGGGCTGAAATGTCACAGAATCGGGATGCGACCATTTACCGGGGTGGGATGGTCTGCGTAGGTAATTCTCGTATTTCTTTCGGAGCAGGCTCCATAGCTAACGTAAGATTTCTCAGCTCTAACGGAATCGAGATGAAGGGACTCGGACAAAATGGCGTTGCGATTGCGATATAGAATTTTTGTGTTTTTCCGCAGTCGTCTCTCTACTACCTCGACACACAACGATTCTGTCGACCCTTATATACACAGTGAAAATACTCTCTTGACGCAATAAACAGGGCCTCAGCTATTTCATGTCGACAACTTTGTTGCGGGGCGTTTTCACCACGCAGAACTTTCATAGAACTAAAACGTTGGTGAGAGACTATTGTTCTACGTCAGTCAACAAAGCACATTTGTTATGAGCTAAGTGATACTCTACTGCCGGTGATAAAGCATCGATGAACAGAACTGGTTAGACGCGTCGGGGATCTAAAAATAGCACCCTAATTGCTGATTATCAGGCATGTATTCTTTCGTATGTCTTCTTCATTATTAAGCCTTCTTTCGTCTATTCTGCAAAGAACAGAAGCCATGGCACGCATGACTCAGAAGGACATAGAGAAAATTTTCTACATCCCACTTCTTCACTTCTTTCCCTCACTGCGCATCTTCCTCAGTGAAGGCGCTCTTCTTCCTCTTCCTCCACCAGTGAGTAGTTTCTTTTCTTGTCTGGGCCACCGCCTGTTCAACGGGCGGCGCCTGTGGTACCAGTTACTGACAAACTCCTTCGGTTTCATTGAAGGCTTTTTCAGATTCCCTTCCTCGTTGACCGTCAACCTGTCAAATTATCTGCCGAACGCATTTCTCGACTTCTCCAACAAATGGCCGAACCTACAGACCCTCAGGAACTCGCCGTCGTTCAAGCCCGAGAAGCATACACTGTCGCCAGCGCTGCCTTGGAAGGACTCGAGGAAGTATCGCCCAACGCTACTTGGTCATCGTCTCGCGTTGACGACTGGTTAATAAATGCTGCGGACGAATGGACAATCTATAACGATAACTTGTTGTTGGCGGGGGTTCCACTCAGGAAGTGGTATAAACTCGCGAGGAGTTTCTTGCAGGCTGTCGCCGCTATTCCCATCGAGAAGGTTGACGAGGCCAGAAGAGAGTACAACATCCTGGCTCGCGAAGCAGTGCGTGGTTGAGTTTTCTTTCTTCTTCTATTGTTTGACCGTCTTGCCAGGCTCAGTATGAGTTCGACGTGATTCTAATGCCAATGAAACACGTGGTTACTCCCATTACCGCGCCTTCCAAGTCACCCGTTCTCTCTAGACAAGTTTCCGTGGCACTGCCTGCGCCTTCGACCTCCAAAGTCGCCGTCCCACAGCCGATTCCAATAATTCAGAAACCCGTGGTTAGGCCGTCAACCATGGCACCATTGCCTTCATCTCCAATTCACGCGGTGACTCCGACGTCTCCGCTCCATGTCCGGGGTAAGGGGTCCTTAAAAACCGTGGTGGCTACTTCTGTGGTCCAGCGGAAGCCTCCATCCACGTTTAGAACCGTCAATGGTGTGTCGTTGTTTTATTTTTCTTTCAGTCGTCCCTCATCATTCTTATAGCTGCCTCTCGTCCTCAAGTGATCCCCGGGCCAAGCACTATTCCGGACGAAGGTAGTGTCGCTTTTCGTTCGCATGTACCCTTGTTTTTACCAGGCACAGATGACGAAGAAGAGGACGAGAGTGACGACGAGATTAAGAGTATTGGTAACATCGAGGACGACCGTGCCCCTAGCTCCTTTCCTACCAAAATTGCTGGCCGTTTACGAATTCCGACAGTTATGGTGTCTCCCCGCCGTTCAACACGCCCTCACAATCCTTCTCCCATGAAGGCCATCCCTCAGGTGTTGACCTCAAAGAAGGTCAAGAGGTCTACCAAGGAAGCACCCATGCCTGGCCCTACCGAAATTGGCAAAGGCAAAGCGAAGGAGATGGGTTTTCGCAAGCACCCACACGACGAGGTGGAGGATGGGGTTGGCCAAGCGTCGTCCTCAAAGAAAACCAAGATTCAAGCTGACACGGCCGTCGAAGGAGATACCATTCGGGTCACTAAAGCTGTGAGGGCTCGTGGTCCTGGGCCTTCCAAACTGCTGGTGAACTTGGACGTCAGCAATGGCGGATTTGGTGAGGTCGTGCCCTCATCTGCCAGGCCTGTCGATAATGGCATCACCTCTATCGGTGTCGTCAAAGTCGAAGCAGATTTCGGCGAGTTCGTCCAAGTTGACAACCGGTACTGGCACAAGGAGGTCGCCGCCTTTATCGGAGAACGCGTATGTTTCCTTTTCTTTTATCTTATACTTTTGTTGATCTGCCTTTAGTATTCAAAGCCCTGTGACCAGTGCAAGAGACGTCGCACGCAATGCCGCAAGTTGTTGACCTACACAGTCATCTGCGCTCGTTGCCACTATGCAAAGCGCCCTTGCACCATCGATGGAGAGGTCAGTCTCAATCCAGTGGACTATTATCGTCCTTCTGGTGCCAGTGAGTATCTTTCTTCTCTTTTAGATGTGTTTTGTCTGATTCTTTTAGCCTCTTCCAATACTTTTGAGGGGGTTATCGCAGCCATTGAACAGAACAATAACACCATTGACTCAGTGATCCAGCAATACTTGTCTGGCCTCAGTGTTCTATCTTATACTGATAATGTTCGAGCCCAGCTATCATGCCTTCGTGAATGTCTCTCTCCTGGCGACGGCGAGGACAAGGGTGAGGACAATGACATACGTTCAGAGGGAAGCGACGACTAGGGCAGAGACAGCTGATTTGGCTGGGAGCACCGCTCCGTTTGTAATTTTGAACAATTTTTATACACCAATTATCGTGCGCCTTCGGGAAAAATTTATATTGCTGCCTGTACATCGCTCCACAGAGGGCATAAATAAATAAAGTTGTATTTTCTTGAAATTTTGTGTGATTTCTTGAGTGATTTTGGGGTTCATTTAAACTTGGGGAAATTTCAGCAGCTGGGATCATGTGCAATGGTCCATGTGCTTTCCTGGCTGTACACTGAATCTTAAAAATTCTGCTGAGTCCAAATGATGCAAATTCCAAAATGGTAAGGAGTGTAGTTGGCCACAGCTTTGTTGCCATTAACCTTTGGATTTGTCAAGTGTTGTATCTCTAAGTGTGAGACTTCATTACTGCAATGTGGTTTTTGCTGATAACTCTATTGTACATAGTCAAATCCTTGGTGAAATGCAATATTTTTGTTAGTGATATCATAGTTTCCATCCTATGAACAACATGGGACCATGTCTCTTCCCCCTAAACTTTTTAAATCTTTGGGGTCAAAGACTCAAAAGTTTAAACCAAGTGATGTGCTGGGCAACTGTATCAGGTGGAAAGTTGAATATATTTATTTTTTTCTACTGGGTTAGTTACTTTATGTCATAGTAAGAAATAATAAGCAAGTAATTACCTGGTGTTAGACTCAAGCATCACATGAACAGATACATGTGATAAACAGATGTCTCCTCACACTTCAGGAGATCAGCTGAGTCCACTGATGCATATTCTGATCAATGTGTCGCAAGGCCAAGAGAGTTGGCTCAAGTATAGAATGGTGTGAGGATAAACTTTAGCTTGAAGCTGGGGATTACCAGTGAGAGCAAGCCTCCTTAAATACCGTACAGGGTCTGTTAATAATACTATGTACTTATTGTGTGTCTCTCTATCTGTTGTGCTCATTGTCCTTGAGCATCACTACCATACATAAAAGGCTGATTATGTGTCATCGGGCAACACTGTTGTGTTGAAAGACAATGATGGACTTGGCTAGTTGTGATGACTAAGCCTTGTCCCATGGTCCTAAGCACTTGTTCTAGTGCCCTGACTAAGCATAGATAGGGGTTAAATCAAGGAAAAAGTGGAGAAATTGTAACACCTGGCAAGGAAACAATTCCCTTGAAGGGCATCATCTCAGTATCCAGTAGAAGCTGGAGTACTAGTGAATCTTGCAATTTAGCAGGAGGGGTTCTCAGGTCCAGGGTACTCATGTGATTGGCATGCTAGCAAAGGTTGGGCAGAGTCCAGTCAATCAGTTGGACTAGCTGTGAATGAGCTTATATCCACCAAGCTGTTGTGTATGAGCTCATACCTGCCAGGAGATGTGTTTAGCCTACTGGGCCAGGCTAGCAAGCCTATTAGTCAGTAGATCACAGTGTTAGTCAGACACCAGGATCCAGAAAGTATAAATATCAATATGGGGATAGGGAAGGCAGGTTTCTGACCCCCCCCAAAATGCTACCAAGTGAACAGTAAGAGTTGTGTTAAGAACTTTGAGTCATAGACTCAACTTGAACAGTATTGTGGTGACCAGATCACTTTGTTTTATGAAAGAACCCCAGAAAGCAACCAAAAGTTTGTGTCAGACAGTCAGAACAGACCAGGAACAGTTCAGAACAGCTCAGTTTTGTGTATAATTCACAACCAGGCACACCATATCAGTTGAGAAACTGCACCAGGCAGACAATACAAGTTCAGAACCTGCACCAGGCAGACTGTTTGAGATAGATTTTGTTGTGTTCAGTGACACAGACAACTTTGTCCCAGTAACTACAATATATATCCTTGAATTACATTCTATTGTACCCTATCAATGTTACATTCTCTATATACTGAGAATCCAGGTGTTACCATTCCTCTCTCAAACTGCATTGTGATTTGGTATTAGTGATTTGGTGGTGTGCATCCAGCATATTGTTGATTCATTTAGTGCCACTTCTCAGCATTTCATGAGGTTTGAAGGTGTGGTATTTCAAAGTGCAATGCTGCTGAGTTTTTGAAAGGCAAGCACATGTAGATGTTTCCATGGTATGGCCCATTGGGTGCATGTTCCATCTCAAACAGAATTTCTACATAAGCATAACAAGGTGAGATGTCTCCAAGTTTTCATATACAAGAGACAGTTTCTCATGTTTTCTACACCACCATGTCTGCTGTCTCTGCTAACACCATTCCTACTCTCAAATCCCTCATTCAGCATGCTGACACCTTGCTGAAGAGTCTTCTCAATGCCAATGTGCAGCTGCTGCAAACTTCAGCATATTTTGATGAGGCTGCCAAGGTCCAGGTACATCTGACTTGTTGATCAAGTTTCCATGAACTAATAACTGTGGAATAGTACTTGCTTCAAGCATACTATCCATCCACTCTCAAGGAGCCTTTCCTTGCTGACTTCATTTCTATTGTTGATGGCAAGGTATCCCAGAAGAATTTTCATAACTATTGGGAACCTTCTTTGGAGATCAAGATTAGTCGATTGCCAGCTACTACTGGTGGTCATTATTCTGTAGGTAAAGGCTTGACTATTACACTTTAAGACCTGGATGGACACCAGAGAAGATGGGGGAAGATCAATTATCCATTGGTACCAAGTAGCTACATACTTATACTATTTGTAGAGTGGCATGTAATAAGACAAAGGTAACTGGCAAAGACAATGTAAAATATTGAAAGGAAGGGGGAGGCTAACTAATGGTGACAAGTAAACACTGTATAGACAAAGAAAGGTAAAAGCAAGATAAGGTAACAAAGGAAATGGTCAAAGAAATGGTCTAGAGCAGGTGAATCCTCTACAATTCCTATATGGGATCTCAACTTGTGGACACTTAAGCCACTCTCCCTCCTTTGAGGTACTGAGTTGATGATGATATCTTGATGTTGTCAGCTCTATTTACTCTGGTATTGACACCAGTCCCAGCAAATGAGACTGTGCCTGATTCTCCTGGCACTATCTCTACTCTGGTGTCCATTCTTGATGATGAACTTATCACTCCAGAGGTTGCTCAACCTAGAGCTCCTAGTCTTAATGGACCATCTATGGTTTCTTTTGATAAGTGGGTAGCAAGCCCTTCAAATTAATTATAACTGCAGCATCATATGGATTGATCCTGAATTTCATGGATGCCAGAGTCGATTCACAGTTCACCACATTCTTTCATTGAGAAGTTTGCCAAGAAACAGGGCATTCTGAAAGATGCCATGGATATTGGTGAAAAGATTACTGATCTCTATCATCAGCCTTTCAACAAGGCAGACCTCTGCTATGGAGAAACCTTCTATGCCTATTGTTCAGGCACTCCTAGCCATGCAGTGCATACTCATCCTGCTCACTCTGCTAAGGTGTGGTTACTTGATTATAATGTTTTCTTGTCTTCTAATGCAGTATTTTAGGCTGTTTGCCCTTGTTGTCTTTGCATAAAGGAGGGGAAGGAGTGCATTTTCACAGGATTATCATCTGAGTGCACTTCTTGTCATCAGTCTCTTATCAGCCAATGCATTGGTGGCATCCCTGACTGACATATTCTTCTATTGCCATTCAAATACCCTCATGCAGAGGATGACGATCATCTGAATACTATTGATGAACTGATCAATCTTGACCCATATGGCACTAGTAAGCTCCATGTATTGATCTAGGCACTTCAGTTACTAATTCCAATAATTTCAGTAGAATCTCCCACAGAAATTCCAGCCGATCCTCATACTGAGGAAGTTGTCAGTAACACGAAGAGTTATGTTGGTGTCAACTTCAAACAATTTTCTTTCTGCGGTTATGAATCCATCACATCTTTGGTGAAAACTAAAGCTGCATTCTACCATTGTCTCAAGTCCAATACCTGTGAGCTATACTTGCAACTCAAGCTTCGTCATGTCCTGGTTCAGCATTACTGTCTTGTTATGGCCAAACTTGATGCAGCGCATATTCAAGAGGAAGCCAAGGGAGATACCTGTCAGTGTGACCAAAAAGGACTGCTTTTTTTTGAGACATACCAACATTAACTGCAGGATTAATATATATTTTCAGCTGGTGGGGGGTGTTCTAGAAATGCATGTCAAGGGCTATAAGATAACACTGATGACGTGCATTCCATGCTGTCTCTGAACCACAGCAGTAGTGGGGGGAGATAATCTCCTGTTGGCATTGGCATGCTCCGGTCTAGCTCTGGAAACAAGCGATCATTTAGTATACAACACGAGAGTGATTCTGGGGCTTACTGCATAATGAATCCTCAAGAAACCATGTGGCATCAAAAACAGCCACTCCAACAACTGGCAACATTGATAGGTTCCCCTTTCCAGAGGCTTTTGACAGCCTGGCAGTCCGAAAATTATGATCAGACTTCTTTTGCTGTCTGTATGCAAGCGTCACAGACTACCCAACTGATAGAAGCATAAGAGGAGGAATGGCATGTAGCAGAGAAAGACATATGTATAATACAGCCCCACTCCGTCAAAGTCCAGAGCACAAGCAAAGTCATAATCTCCATCCTTTGTATTGATTAATCATACAATATCTCCTATTTCAAACACACAAAGTCAGAGCATGTGAAGTGATGGAGGGTGAAATGAAAAGACCCACTCCAGTCAAAGAAAACATTGTTAAAAAAATAAGACTTTTGCAAAGGTCTTCCCTCTTGGTCACACATGATATGCAAAGGCTCCAAGGCCTTGTTCCTGATATCCGCTATGTAGGAGATCCATTCAGGGCTGTTCACCCCCCACCTATTCCTTATGCCTCCCTGCACCACTATATGGTTACCGATACCCTGTTCACTGAGTTCCTTCTGGAACATATGCAGAATCTCTTGCTTCCCATCCACAGAATTCGACTTGTAGATCGATACGAAGATGTTCTGTTGGCCAATGTGGTCGATGAGGAGCTTTATGTCCTTCATTCACGCAGGTAGGACCTTTGCTGAATTATACAGATTGGCAGCAATGTAGTACATGCCATTTGAGAGAATGAAATATATGGGGGTGCCATGATGGAGGTAAGAAGAGGAAGGATAGGTTGGTGCGAAGAGGAGGAAGAGACACCATAGAAAGCACAGTTGAAATCATGTTCTCCATTGTGTCCACCGAGTCCAGGTAGAGATGTGTGCAGGGTCGAATATCGCCAGTGCCAGTATGGATACTATTGCAAACGGAAGGTATATGAGAAAGGTGGAAAAGTACTCCAAATGATAGGTGAAGAACATTGCGGTAGAGAAAGAGATTGCTATGCATGCAATGAGTATGCCATGGAGCTGAAGGAGTGTCACAATGAGATTTCTTCTATTTTTTTTGTAATAGTAGGTACCCCTCATTGTTGTTCATGGTTAACAAGGATTGTGGGCATTTTATGCACTGCCCCTGAGGACCCAGCATGCTACTGTCGATGTGCACTAAAAATGTCAACACATAGGTCCATCATCAGTTCTGCATTGCTTCAGCCTAAAATACTGTAGATCTTATCCTAATATAAGTACTGAACTTCAGGATTACTGGGGTGCCCAGAACGTTGCTACATTATGAGACAATGAAGGATAGTTTAGAGATATCTGAGTCAGAGTAGAGGTATTTATTTAATTAACTATTTACTCGGTACAATAAAGACGACTGAGCCTACAGATTCCAAAATAACCCTGAAGTCACCGACGATGACCTGTGCACCACTATCCAACACTTGCTCTGCCACGAGTTCAGCGATACCAACCTGAGCCAAGAAAAGGACCTTTTCTTCATAGTCAAAATTCATCGCTAAAACTAGTGTCTTATTTTCTACTGTCCACAAACTCACGTCGATCCAGTCAGAAGTCATCACTTGCTGGAACTTGACTTTGGGGTTAAGAATGAATACAGTGATTTTCAGAAGGAAAAGCACTAGAGCTGAGGCAGAGGCTTTGATATTGGTGGGAGTAGGGTCGGCCCACAGTACAACACATATGCCAGGTCAATGTCCTTGTATACAATGAGAAGAAGCCAATAATTACCCAGAGCTCCATAGTTGATCCCAACGATGTTCTGAACAATGAACTCTTTACTGGTAGGAAATCTCTTCTAGTACCTGCAGCAGCACCTTTAAGCTCTTGCTAGATACACAGAAAAGAAATAGACATACGACTCATCCCCAAAGGCCTGCAGGACCTCCCAGACCACCTTACTCAGCTCCCATCCATTGATGAATATCCTTTCCCAAAATTCATCTTCCCTGGTCAATATATCCTGAAAGTTGCCTTTACAATTGTCACATCCACAATCCCCATAATCAGGTGTGCACACCGTGTCCCACTCGCTTGAGAATGTGACATTGTTCCCACTGATGTAGGTGTCCTGCATGATGATATCCTCCCTGCTCGCATAGGCCATGAACTCATAGTTCTCACAGTTCAACACCAGGGATACAGGGTGGCCACCAGATCTGCCTTGTCCATTTCCACTGTCAAGCGACATAATAAGGTTTGAAGAGAGAACAGTAGCATTGAATGGCATGGGTTACTTGCCATAATCATGGCAGAAGGATCATGTCCTTACAATGTTGAATCTGTCAACATGCCAGAAGACTCTAGTACATATGGAAATGGATACCAACCCTTGCTCCTTCAATATTCAGATGGCAGACAAATTGACAGCCAGAAACGAGTCAAAATGTGTGTAGAAACCCAAGGGAAAGACTCCTTGTGCACTCCATCTTGGTGTGCTTATCGGGCAAGGAGACCATCAGTCCACATATCCATCTTCATAACTAAACCAATGTCATCTGGAGGCACAGGCAAATAACTCAGTAGTGCTGTCATTGCGGATTGTTCCCCACCTTCTGCTGGCTCCCCTCACATGGGGTGTCCTTACAGCAGCTTGTCCTGAAAATAAGAACATCTCTTTGTCAGACAGATATTGTATGGTCCATTTTGGTATCGAATCCACATTGACTGCCCAGGTAAGATGCCTTAACATCGTCTCTTTAGGTGGATTCCTCTTGTACACTATCAGAATTGAAGGGTAGACAATATGCTTTTTATCTCCTGATTTTGTATCATGGGCAAGTTGGTGTGTTCTTGGATAAAGGGAACCCTGCAGATGGTCAGCCACCGAGGAACAGCTTGGAAGTCATGTCTGCATTGTTGAAGAGCATAATAGTGAACATGCATCAAGGATGGTGAGAAGCATTGTTAGAAGTTTGTTCTATCTGAAAGTAAACATTCATTTTGATGCTGCTGGACTCAAAGCACAAACAACTGATCCCCGCCAGGAAAAAAAAAGAATGTTATACTATGTACAGACACAAATATTCAAGCTTTAAGTTCTCCCACATTGTCTTGGAAATCCTGTTGTGCTATTGTTTACAGATGCCAATGCGAAGTTCTGTGCAACAGCATTGCTTTTATATATATATAACTTCTCTCATGATCTTTGTGGCATCTGCATACTTTGTGTAGTAATCAATAACTTGAAGGTAACCTCACCTTTTTCAATAAATTGCACTGAAGTTCGTTTGAAGACATCTGATATAGAGTAAAATTTCTGGAGTTTCTAAAGGTCAGAAACTGGTTACGAAACTAATGGGGCATATCCCACACATGGCGCATAGAAATATATGGTATGTCGCCGGTTTCAGAATTAGTTTCTGAGCATCAGAAACTTCTCAGAAATGTTACTCTTTTTTTGGAGTGAAAAGGCTCATTCGTCTGGAGTTGCTTGAGGATATCATCTAGCAATCAAATTGGGCTCATGAGGATGAGGACTTTACCAATCGACAGTTAAACACATCATGCTACTTGGATATGACTCTGGCAATTTCCTTCATGCTTTCTACATGCCCGTAATGTGACGAAAAATCCAGGTTGCATGGCAGGGACCAAAACTCACAGCAGGAGGGGAGCCATCACACGCAGCGAGCAGATCAGGACTGTGGACACGTTTCTATATCATATGACATGGAGACAAGGTGTCCCCATATGATTCTCATGATGATAAATGTATCCATTTTCCTAAGTCTTTGAGTGCCTATTCAATGATCATTGGTATTCGAACGTTGGACGTTTTGTCTGAGACCATGTGTACATGGGCTGAGATGCAACGCTAAGTTTTGGTTCTGGGAGTTTCATCTTTGGATGACAATCAGATACGTGTTATGTAATCTACCTTAGAACAAATCGTTCCCTGAAATAGGACAGTCAGATATGTGGACCAGCCATTTGAGTCAAATTTGAGTGACATTAAGGTGGGCCAAAGGTGAGCAATCGCGAACAGAACAAGTGAACAAGAGCAGAACCAAGCACAACTCGATGAACAGAGTGAATGGAAAATTCATAGACTGAGGTTGACACAAGCCTCAAATGAACCTTTAGCACTTCAGTGCTTGTTCTAGCACAATGCCGGGTGATAAGATAATTCAATATCCGATTCAAGTCCGATTCAAATTTAAACCATGATGTTCTCTTCAACATCGCATGCCACTTTCCAGCCCCTGAGCATGTTTTTTTGTTGCATTTGACCTTTGAAAATCTCAGTACCTAGACATCTCGGCAATTTAATTGATGATCCTTCGACTATTAACTGTGCTCAGTTGTGGGGGCTGCATCATGTGCAGGGCTGGTATCATGGCAATGCAAGAGGATTGAATCCTTGTCCAGGAGCTTTCTACAGCCTAGCCAATGGCCTTTGTCTGGATCTAACCTTGCATGATTGAAATATGTGAAGAATTAGATAATGAAAATTGCTCCCCTCCTTGATTATCTCTAATCCAAATTCCCTCTGGTTCCAACACTGGCCATCAGCACAATATGGTTCACTCCTACAATCAGGATTCTTCTTGCCCCTGGGGACTCTATTCACATACCCAAGGTACAAACATGTCTCTCATAACTGCTAAGACATGCACTTTACACTTATATTAGCCTAGAACAGTCAGATGCTCATATCACATTCAATTATGCAGCCACAATGTTGGATGGGTGAGACATTTGTCGATGTATAAAGAGGCATAGATAGCCTGCACTTTCCATCAGTGAACAAATGATAGTCCCCACCACTCTATTCACCATTGCTGCTTTGATCTCTGGAATGTATGTCTCTATCAGGTCCATCGCCAACATGCAGATCGTCAATGCAGATATCATACCTGATGGCTTCAACAGAGGGTATGCACTGCTATCACCCTCCCTCATTTCATCCTTCTTTCACTTACCCAATTTCAGCACCGTCCTCGCAGGTGGGACGTTCCCTGGACCACTCGTCAAAGGAAATATGGTATTCATCTTCTCAGTGTAAGTTCGTTTCTGCACTCATTCGTTTTCTTCCAGGGAAACAGGTTCAAGATCAACATCATCGATCAATTGACAGATGACATGATGTTAAGAAGCACTAATATCATAAGGAGACTGTCACTTTTTTTTCTTGGTCTTCTCTTATGCCGACTGTAATAATAGGACTGGAGGGACCCCCTGGGCTGATGGGTTAGTATATATACTCTCCTCGTTGTTTATTGTTCATCTGATCTAACTCCTCCTTATCATAGACTGAGTTTCATCAACCAGTGTCCCATCGCTGCCATGAGCCAGATTTTTCTTCTATTTCGAGCTTCAAACCCTGATTGTTTTATAGAATGACTCATTTCTATATGACTTTACAGTCCCCAATCAGGTTTTGGTATCATTATCATCTATGTGCATCCCTCCCCTTTTCCTGAGATGAATACGATGTCCCTCCTAGCTACACAATACTGCAATGGTCTATGGAGACCTATGGTCATCTACCACCCCAGTGATCCTCACCGATTTTGATATGACATTGGTACAGGTTTGATCTTTCCTTCCTAGCTGCTAACATTCATATTCATATACATCAAATACAGAAGCAACAGTTATCACTCTCACAGGTATGATGTCGCATATGTTCTTTCATCTCCTGGAATTTACCCAAAAGCCGAGTGAGGGTTCAACTGGAACTACGGGTATTTATTTGTACACAACAGTGTGAAATACTCCATACAATATATGTTGTAGGCATGATCAGAATGTCGGTTATCAGTGCTCATGTCTCCTTCAACATTTAAAAGCATGTCCATGCTCACCAATGTTTCTCCAGTCAGCCTCACAATGCATCCCAACATATATACAGTCAAACTGACCCACCCAGCTTCTAGCAGCACCTCTTCATTGCCAAACTGTCCCACCATTCACCATTCTCCTGAAAAGTCCACTATAACTGTCAATGCCGAAAAACAGGTCAACCCATGGGATGGCTATGAAGAGGATAAAATGCCTGGAAAGTCTCAGCTGTGGCTCATGTGCAACCTACAGTTACAGGCCTTCTCTATTTACTGCTGCCTATTCTCAGTCATATTCTTAAGGAACATCTTCATTCCATATGCAATCTGCAGCTATCAGATTGCACTGGTCACGGTGGTGAATATCGTTTTTGCTATTCTCATGAGGCAGGAATGCGTTATAAATGCAATTGAGTGCTCTGTTCTTCACTTGTGAGTTCTCTTTGCCTGATGATCTTTGTAGTTCACTGATGCGTTTTCTTACCAAGGTGGTCATTCTTCATTCGTAAGACTGCTGCAAGAGTGTATTATAATGGAGGCATCCATTTGGGAGCTGCTGCTGTTTCAGGTACATTTTGGCATCCAAGCAACTAGTGAACTTGTTCACAGCAAATGGGTACATTTCCCCGCAAAGTATATGTCTGCATGATTCTAAACCATTGATACATTTCCAGACTTCAGTGGCTTGTCAACTTTTTGACTCCAAGAAAGGCTTGTGGAGGAATAACATCCAACATTGTCTTCTTCTCCAGATGCTCCTGTGTGAGCACCATGCTATGTGTATACACAATATCCAACTCGGTTATTTGTTCCATGAATTGCAGCCACACGAGTTCAGCGTGATTGTACCACCAGTTGTGGTAGTTCACTGATGTCTGCGAGACGTTGGGGAATATATTTTGAAGTACTGGCATGAGATCTTGGATATCTGACCATGCTGGGTGCGCTTTGAGATGGAGGTGGCAGATATTGACTTTGAGAACAAAGGAGATGGACCAGCAGAACTTCAACGGCGAAAATGAAGAGTCAATGGACCAAAAGGCTATGGTGTCTCATTGTAGGATATGGATGATAATGTGGTTAAGGTGGAAATGAGTGAAGATGTGTATGTCAGTGCAGTACACATGAGTAAATTCCAGGAAATGATTTACTGATGAGAAGGGATGATGTTGCCATTCGGAGACATTCGACAAGTGTAAGAGGAAAGGCCCATGCTTCCTCGATGATGTGGGCAAGTATTTCGGCAGGCAGTACATTTGCCATTGTTCAAAAGCACTTGTAGAGATGATTTGTTCAACTGAGTTGTTTGGTAATTTGTGTGATTAAAGGCATCATTGTCCCTGCATTTTATACCTGATGATGCTCCACATTTTCATGATCCACCTTCGCCTCTGTGGTGAGAATTCTATCTCATTCAGGCACCTCGTGCTTTACTGGCGATGCGTGGTACTGGACTTTGTGAAACATTGGTAGAGGCTAGAAATTTGTGATGTGTAACTTTCATCTCAACATTCATTACAGATTCTGATGCGAAATGGATTTTCATGCAGGTTCTTCTTGTGCACCATCTGGGGTCTCTTCACTCTAACATGCTGTGGAAAGCAAGGCCCAGCGCATAGTGAATAACCTTTTATGTCCAATGCAATTCCTTTCTTATCAACATACAGAGTGCCATAGTGGAGGGAAATTTGCCACCACTATCATTCATCACTGCAAAGGTGAAGGAGCTTTTTCATTGCTGTGCCACAGTCTGGGCCACCCTGCCACCAAAGACAATCACAAACCTGTCCTAGTTTTGTCTCAGCCACTGTAGCTTCGCTATGTCTACAGTATAAATTCCTTTGTCAACAACCACTGCACTTTGATATCTTTACCCTGACCCACCTGTTTGCATATCAATCAAAATGAGCATGAATGCATCATTTTTGCATCCAGTCTTCAGTGATTGGTGGTCCATTGGAAAGCAGTGGGATGCGTCCACTTTCTGCTGTGTTATCTGGGAAATTGATGAGTATGATGGGAGAAAGAGAATGCATACATGGAGATTCCTAACAACTCATACATTTCCATTCCCATCAGAGTCTTGATCTCTGCCAACTCATTTCCCTGATAGATGTCAGCACAAATAAGACCATCATGAGTGTGCCATGTATACTGTTTCTCATGCACCACTAGCTTTTTATCTGCAGCCTTATGTGGGTTCATCTTATTGACATTTAATAGACACCTCCCAATGGACTTCCTATAATGAGTTCATTTTCCAATTCCTTGCTACTGACTTGTGTGTTGATACAGATCCTATTATTAGTATGACTGATAGGTGTTCCTGGTGCATTCCCTGTTAGTTGCATCATTGGTCAGATAGTCTTGCTGTAGTCCTGAATGAACTAGTGATAGAAGTTAGTGAATCTTAAAAAGGACTGTAACTTCTTCTTTATCAGCACCAGCCATTCTGTTACCCCTGTGATCTTTATCAGATCCATCCAAATGCTTCCTTCACTGATGATTACTGCAAGGTACTCTATTTCTAGCATCTCAAATTCACACTTTTCTGCTTTGAGAAAAAGCTTGTGCTTTCTCATCAGTTGGAGCACCTGCTAAACCAGTTATTGATGTTTTTCATGATCTTTAGACATTACAAGGATATCATCCAAATAGATTGTTACTTTGCCAGTGGTGATAAGGTCCTTGAATATGTTGTTCATCATCCACTGGAAGGTGGCAGGGGAGTTCATGAGGCTGAAAAACATGACTGTTGGTTCAAACAGTTCTCAGTTGGTCTGGAAAGCCACCATCCATTCATCACCTTCCTTGATTTGCATGTTGTTGTATTCTCACCTGATATTTAATTTAGTGTAATACTGTGCTCCTTGCAGTTTGTCCATAAGTTCTGAGATTAGCAGAAGAGGATAACAATTTTTAATCATCATCTCATTCAACTTTTGATAGTCTTGAACAGGCCAGAGCTTTTTATCCTTTTTCTTGATGAAGAAGAAGAGGAAAGCCATGGGGAATTTAGATGTGCATAGGATAGTCTCACTGTCTTCTATTTCCTCATCCCACCTGTCCTCAGAATCTTTATCTAGCAACTCAAATGGGATTTTGCAGCATCAGCACTGAGAGAAGGTGATCTGACTGGTCTTCCAGTTAACAAGCAGATTGTGCTGAATTAACCAGTCATGACTGAGGAATATTTTCTTGGTTCTCAAGTCAGTAACTGCCAAGTTGATTCATTCTGAATGATCACCAATGGTTAGTCATAATTTGACAAATTCAGTAATTAAACCAGCTTGATTCTTAGTGCTGTCCATATTATATACTGGAATGGAGGCAGCCATTGCCTGAGTGGGTAGTTTGTGCTTATCAACAAAAGCATGATTAATCGAGCTTCTGGTATGACTGCTATTGATTAGGGCTGTTACTGCATACATGGTTCAGGACATAAGAGTCTTGATCTGGGCCTTGGTGGTCAGATCCTGTCCTGGAGTCTTCTGTCACTGGATATACTTTTGGGGTCCCCTGAGTTAATCAAGCCACTCCAGTCCTCAGCACTGTCCAGCCTTCTTTATCTTTTCAATTATCTCATCTATGACTTCTTCAGCTTGGATTTTCTGTATCTAATTTTTGAGTACTGCCTTTGCTTCTTCTTCTGTCCTGGCATCTTTGATGGCATGCCAGGTCCATTCAGTGTTGAAGGGCTTAAGCCATCCAATGGGGTTCTCTCCCCCTGTTCAGCCCATAGGCAATTGAGCTCTGGATTTTGGTGATTCTTTTGGTGTGTGTATAGTGGTTGAAGACTGTAGTATATTTGAATGCATGCATAAGTTAGGCATAGAGGTAACTACAGAAGTACTATTAGTCTGTCCAGCAGCTACTCATGACACACCACTAATTTCATTGGCTGATCCAGTGGAATTGCTCATCAGTCAGCCCTGTCTTTTACTTCCTTGATTTTTGTTTCCTTTCTGAGTTCCCCTTCTTCCTTCTGCAACTCTGCTATCTGTGCTCATATATCTTCTCAGGTTCATTTCTTCTTCAGCAGTCTCTTGACAGATGTCCCTTCTATCCACAATTGAAACACTTCTCTTCTCTCTTTAGCTGATCTATGTTCATTGGTTTGCTGTGTCCAATGTACATGATGCTGGTGCCAGTCTTCTGGATTCTATATGTGAGGGTCCAGCTTTGTTGGGACTGGTCCTAGAAGGAGACTGCTTGATAGGTCAGCCAGCACTGATTTCAATGTCTCTCTGGTGGCTGCCACATGCTCTCTGTTCCTCCAGTTCTCAGTGATACTGGCAGAAGTTTTAGTAGAAGTGAGGGTTGAGGAATAGTGCTACAATCCTTCCTCTAAGGAATTGTCAGAGACTGTGGTTGGGGACATGAGCATTAAGAGAGACTTGAAGCCCATAGGTGTCAAGTATGGATTCAGAGTGGGAGGGAATGGTATCTGTGTCTGCAATAGATAAACTTCTGGAGAGATGAGGATAAGTGTTTCTCCAAGCAGCCTCACTGGGAGTGATGGCTTCTGTGGACCCTCTCCATGGGTCTGATGCTGCTGGTGTGCTGGGCTCTCAGAAGGGAGAGCCTGATGTTTCTGTTTGAAGACCATATCAACTTGAAGAGCCAGATCTCCAGGTTGCAGCCTCAAGTTCATGCTGGTAGCAATGGTACTGCCTATCATACTAGGCCTCCTTGTACTTGTTCTGAGCCTGGGCTGCTGCATATTCAGCAACATCTCAGGCTTGTTCTTCTTTTTCTTGCCTGGCCCACTCTGTTAGACCCAAGCATCACATGAACAGATACATATGATAAACAGATGTCTCTTCACACTTTGAGGGATCAGCTGAGTCTACTGATGCATATTCTGATCAGTGTGTCACAAGGCCAAGAGAATTGGCTCAACTATAGAATGGTGTAAAGATAAACTTTAGCTCAAAGCTGGAGATACCCAGCAAGAGCAAGTGGTCTTAAATACTGTACAGGGTTTGCTAATAATACTTTGACTAATTATGTGTTTCTGAGTCCATTGTGCTTATTATCCTAGAGCATCATTACTGTATATAAAAGGTTGATTGTGCATCATTGGACAATGTTGTTGTGTCACAAAACAATGACAGACTGAGCTAGTTGTGATGACTAAGCTCATCCCATGGTTCTAGCATCCTGACTAAGCATAAATAGGGGTTAAGTCTCAGAAAATTAGGAAAAGAAAGGGAAAATTTAGAAAGCAGAAGAAAAAATCATAACATTACCCCCTCCTTAAGACCATCATCCTGATGGCTTAATTTAGGGATAGTTCATAGTCATATATGGCATCATTGGCATTCATCAGCTTTTCATTCACCCACTGGTTTGATTCAGATCTATATCCCTTCCAGCTAACCAGGTAATCAGCCATGGTTGTCATGCCACCCTCTCTTGCTCTAACTTTTTGGAGTCTATGGTGTAACACCTGGTCAACTTCATAATGTTCCTCATCATCAATAAGGTCCAGAGGAGGCAGTGGTGGCTTTCTCTGGTTAAGGAATGCTGGTGCAATACAGGGCATCAACAGTGTTTTGTTGAAGACATTGTGAATTTTTCAAGTGGGGGGTAATTGGAGTTTGTATGCACTGGCTTCAACCTTTGAAAGTATTGGGAAAGGGCTGGTTCATTTGTCCACTAATTTGCACTTAGGATGTGGAAGGTGAAGGTTGGTTGTGTCAAGCCAAATCTTATCATTCAGGGAGTACTCATGTGCAGCATGGCAGCACCAGTCATATTGTCGTTTCATTGTTACCACAGTGTGTTTGAGGGCAGCCTTAGTTTCTGAGTGGATTTTTATCATTGTAGAGGCAAAATCCAGTGATGCAGGGGTGGTGGCATGGCATTGCTCAGTTTGGGTGATATTTGGATGTCAACCATAGTTGACAAAGAATGGTCTTTTCCTGGTTGCTGAATGAACTTGATTATTGTGTTGGAACATGGCAAGTGCAAGCTATTCCACCCAGTCATCTTGCTGATAATTGATAAATAACCAGAGGTATTTTTCCACTTCTGGTTTGTGCATTCTGTCTGACCATTGCTTTGAGGGTGGTATGCTGTGGATGTGTTCTGTTTGATGTTTAGGAGAAGGTAGAGGTCATCTAAAAATTTGGATACAAACTGAGGTCCCTTATTGGAGATCATGACTTGAGGCATGCCATATTTGATATAGACCTCATCACATAGGGTCTTTGCCCACCCTTCAGAAGTCAACTCCATTGAACAGGTGATCAGAATGA